TCAGGATGAAAATGGAGAAGTAGTCCTTTCAGCATGGAAAGGAAAGACAGCCATGACAGTGGTCATGTGCATGTGATCAGGTTTCCTTGGCGACGTGATTTAGGGAGAAGTGTGGAGGTGGATCAAGTAAAACCAGGAGAGTATACTCTACAGACCCTCTTCCTACAGTTCTGTTCCATTGCAGAGAAGAAAGTTGAACAAGTGGTGGCAGAACCACTGGTAAGTTGAAATTGTTCAAATGATAGTTCTTTGGATGTAAAGTTCAGAAAATTGCAGTTGTTTGATCTAGGTGTTTTTATCAGTTATGATACATACAAATAATTTAAGACATACATACACTGTAAAAATCATGACTTTATTCCCTGGAAAACATAAGTCCCATGTTGTCTGACACTTACTTATTACCTCTGCTTGATACAATATTAAAATTTTGTTCACTATAATGCTTTTTAGCTCACTTGAGCTCAAGTGAGCTTTTCTGTTCACCCATTGCCTGTTTAACTGTATGTCTGTGTCTGTCCATTTGTCCATCCATCTGTATGTTTCAAATTTTCAACTTTTCTGAAGTTTGAAGAACCACTGTGCTATTTTCATCTTTCTTACACTGTACAAAGCAATGACACATGTTTATCATGTCAACACACATATTTTGTATATTGTACATTAACCATAATTTTAATTAAAGTGTTTGTTATTCTGAAATTACAGGAAAAGCCTTTGGCAAAGTCATTACAGAGAGGAGAGGACACACAGTTTGATCAGGTAAGTACATATGTACTCTTATAGCTGTGTGAGGTTTAATTGAGAAAGTTTGGGACAAGGTTATTGTTTGATTTGTACAAGTCAATAATTTCAGAATTAAAGGCCGGTATTGGTCACAGTGAGATTTGTAGTATAATACAAGTATTATAATACTTTTGCATCATAGTACATTCTTGTATTCACTCTAACATATGTCTAATACCGGTACATATCTTGAAAGATTGTAAATAAACTATGTATTCCAATGTGGTTTCCCCCGACATATTTCTCTCTCTATCAAAGTAATAAAAATGGAGGACGGGGCTCTGATAGCAGTGTCTATCTTCGTACTATGCACTGTTTGATATATTCTATAAATCCACTTCCCCTTCCCATAAAAATATTGACTTTTTTCATTGGTTGAAAGTGTCTTTACTTGTAAAAGCGGCCATTATTATTTACCATGTACTTTTTTAGTAAATAATAAACATAGGTTGACCCCTAGTGTCATTACATTTCATTGGTTGAAAGTGATAGGTAAGTTAAGACTTGTATTAGGAAATTAGAGCATTGCTCTATTCTTAATAAAGTTTTATAAGATTCGAAAAATCTTATGATACACTGTATTAAGGGTGTATACACATTAAGATTTTTTATTATAATACAAATCTTACCGTGTATACCGACCTTAAAGTGCACTCATGACCTCAAAGAAATCCGAAATATTTTGAAATTGTGTTGATATTTGTTTAGTCTTTATCATTAATTTTAAAATAATCAAAAAGAAAACAACAACATTATATCAACAACACCATGTTGTTTGACTCTAATAAAGAAATCATGTGATTGACAAATAGATGGACTGGTTTGCAAGGAGTTCAAATTTGTTAAGTTGTTAATTTTCAATTTGAATAGTGATCTGAAATTTTTAGGAGCCTCTTGCCAGTGTAATTGCGTGTGTTATTTTAAAATTTTAGATTGTAGCTGATTTATTTTTTGCCATTATCAATTCTTGATGAATATTATCTTTAGTTATAAGTGCACAGTGATGTAGGTTGTGATATATGAATTGACTTCAAGTTGATTTAATCAGAAATGTTATCAATAAGGAATAAATGAACTTGTAGATCACTAGATCTCTTCAAAATATTGCTGGCATTTAAAAAAAAATCACCCAATAATTTTTTTGGTATACATGCAAAAGTAATTTGTGTTTTTGTGGTTTGAGCTAAGTCTTTGTAAACATGTTGAGTACCAATTAAAAAAAATACAAAAAAACCTATTCTCACTGGAGGATTGATGTGAATGAACAAATGTTACAAGTTAATGTGATGTTAACCTTTTTTGTTTGTTTTTTTCTTCTTTGGGAACTGTGGCTTATATCATGTATACTCAAATTCAAATATAATTTTCTTCATTCAACAAGGTTGGGTAAAAACAGATGTTGCATTGATTAATGAATATTTTGTACCTTAGCACAAAGGTTTTTTTTTTAAGTCTGGGGGTATAGATTCTGCTGCTATAGATCAAGTGGCTCATTTATTCTTGACCAAAATAAAGAGTTCAATAACCAAATTCTAAAGAAGTGACTATGCAGGAAATGTGTCACACCAGCATGTGCTTCAATTTAAGTTGCAAATTCAGTACAGTTAAACATTGTTATCTCGGACATCATGGATATGTCAAGGTGATTTGAAAGTTGCAACTAATAATTTTTAGCTTTTTAGGGTTTCACCTGAGCTTTGCTGATCACCCATTGTCCATTTATTTGTCTGTCCGCCTGAAAACTTTCACATTTTCAAAATTCTTCCCAAGTGGCCCACTTTTTACCAAAGTTTGTACAAAGCATCTTAGTGAGAATGGAAGTTGAAGTTGTTATAAGGAATGGACAAGCTCTCTTCCAAGGGGAGATAATCAAGAAAAGACAAATACAGGGTGGAGTTATTTAAAAATCTTATGAAGATCCACAGGACCCATAAAGCTGAAACTTATTTGGAAGCTTCCTGTGGTAGTTTAGATTCTAAATTGTTAAAATTATGGCCCCAGTGTTAGGGTAGGACCATTATAGGAAATCAGATATTTACATTAAAAAATAGAGGAAATTTCTTGTCAAGAACCACTGGACCAGCAAACTTACTGTATGTGGAAGCATCCTGAGGAAGTGTCAGTACTAATTGTTCAAATCATGCCCTTTGAGGTAGGGTAGGACCACAATAGGGGATCAAAGTATAACAAGGAGGAAAACCTGATAAAAAAATGTTAGGACCAAAGTGACGCAGGTTAGCATTGTGGCCCATGGGTATCTGTTTAAATATTTTACCCTGGCTATCTCAAATCCTCTGATGTCTCTACATTGAGATTGAGATAACAAGATTTAACTGTTCATACTTGATCATTATCAAAATGTGTTGTTGTAAAGCTTCACAAACCTCTAAAAAATCTGCAGTGGTTTGAGAGTGATTTTTTCTTTATAGTTTGTTAGACTTGGTATATTGCCCATATAATTCTCTAGCATACAGATGTGTTTTAGAAATCATGTTAGCATTAATTCTACTGTGTAATTGCTGTAGTTCCATTTTGATCTACCCTGATGTATATAAATCAGAAAACTAGTCCAATGTTTTTTTTTTTGATTTCGATCTCTACAAAGTCAATTCTTTCTTGCTCTAGGGTGTATCTCTTTTCCTGAAATATAAAATCTATTAGCAGTGTTTGGAAGCATTTTGTAGAGACCTGAATATGTACATGTATTTGTGACTTACTCATCATTAACTTCATTTGTAGATGGGGTGTTGTTGTAAAACTTCACAGCTCTCTCAACCGGAGAGTTTTTTTCCCCATATAATTGTCTAACATAAATCATGTTAGCATTAATTATACTGTGTAATTGCTGTAGTTCCAATTTGATCTACCCTGGTGTATATGATTTAAAAAAAAAATTGTTTTGGTGCATACTTTTTAGCTGTTTAAAGACCCATAATTTAAAAAGTTTATTAGGGAGCATTGATTCAGAATGACATAGGGATGAAAATAAAAATTTACTATTAACAGAGCAAAACCTAGTAAGTCATCAGTTGCAAGAGCATACTGTATGTTTGAACAATTTCTAAAATGAGGTAAGTTATTGACAGACAAATTGCTGAAAGAAGAATATCATCAGTCTCGTTTTAAGTCATCATTATGTAAGTTCTTTGACATTGTCGGCAAATACAATTCATCATTATGTCAGATGCTGACTGAAGTTTTTCACACTAATTGTTATTCCTTTATTTACAAACCGTATGAACTGACAGATTTTGCAGTTATTTCCTGATAATGACAAGGTGGGTGTGACTGGTTGACAGGAGATGCTCACTCCTTCATGGCACCTGATCCCACCTCTGATTTTTTTTGTCTGTGTTTGCTCTGCTCCAAATTTGTAATGTTTGTAGACTTTTGAGCTGGAATATGGTTTGTTATCTCCATATATTTCATTGTAAAAAAAAAATCAGTATTTTTTATATCTCAAGCAATATTAATGGTCCTGTAAGATATAGAGTTCAAATATTACCAATTTTGATGGATACTGTGGAATAACTTAAATTGGGGGTGGGGGTGTCATTGTTTGATGGTATTCAAAACTTTACTATCTCTGGGGATGTAATTCTGAACTGACACTTAGACAAAGTTATTGTTTGTGGGAATGGTAATTCTTGAGTTAGGGGTGACCTTGAACTCTGGTCCTGCACGAGCAGTAATCATTTTATATTGTTTGGAAAATGTAACAAGACCAAGAATAAAGTACAAAGGAAAATGCTATGAAGAAGAAATTTATTGTCTTAGTCAATATGGAAATAATTAACTGGAATTTTACAGAAACACTTTACTTTTGAAATCAATTACACATATTTAAACAAATAATTCCCAGGAAAAAATTCAGGTCATTGTTTAAACTTCTAAAAATCAAACCTGAGATGGTATTGAAACCTTTTGAATTTGCAAAGTATTTGAAGCAGCAGTATTTGTCTTTGAATTGTTGTTGGTTGAACTATTTAAAATATCTGTACCAAAAGTCCCAAACTGAGCTATTTGTAGAAGTATAACTTGAAATTGATTACAATTAATTTTACTGGGTATTTGAAGCTTTGATGAATATTGATAACTTGTATTTGGAAAAATTTTATGTTCTAATAGATATAAGCATATCCTGCCTGGTTTTACATGTCATACTGTATCTGTTTATCTGTAACATTGTACACCATTAGCAGACATTCAGATAAAAAAAACATGTTTGAGTGTTCTTTTTTGTATCATGATCACAGGTACATTTTGACAGGAACACCCCCCCCACCCCGGCCTCCTTATCCATCATGTACCTTTGAAAAGGGTCAAGAGAATCCAAAAATAATTGCTTCCATAAAAATACTTCCCCACTTTTAATAAAGAGTATCCAAAGATATTAGCAAAGAAAATTATATTAACAGTGTACATAGTGGAATAGTAAATACTGTACATTAAGTAAACATTGAATTTGTTCATATTACAAAGAGTTGACACTGTACATTACCATCTGTACACATAAATAATGATGACAGTACCATTCATGGTATGCAATCAAGGCAAAGTTAATCAAAGTACATAAACATTTACTGTATAATTTTTAGACAATACATGTAATTAGTGCTTGTATCTGTTAAATGATAATGTCCGAGTCTACTAGTATTTTTGTCTTATTTATAATGAAGCTGTTATTTCTTGTTACAGATTCTGGGAGCGTTAGGATGTGTAGCGGAGCAGAGTCTTCCCTCCATTTTACAGAGTTTGTTCCGATGGTTCGAGAAACAAAACCTGATTGATGAATCGACTCAACTCGATTCTCGCCAAAGACACAGGAGTAAAGGGTATGTCATATGAAAAAGCATATGTAAACTAGAAATACTTTCATACATAAAAGTATATGGTAGTAAATCTTCTCAGCTTGACTTGTGACAAAGGGCTTAAATCAAAGCATGTAAAAGTATGTGAAAAATACAGGAATTTGATTGAAAAAAAAATATTTTTTTTTTAACTAATTAAATCAGAAGCTGTATACTGAATGGCACATACTTAGCTGTGAACTAACATAATAAAGAAATTGGGAAAGTAAGGTTTGCTGCCATAAATGTATGAATTCTCAAGTGCAAAGCAAGGACTTCCTGTGTGAGAAATATTGAAGCATTTAACACTCTTATATGATTCAGTGCTTTATTTTTGCGAGGTATTTCTGATATTGAATTACTTTGCTCTCTTAATTACAGTAATTTATTTGAGGATATTTTATTTTAATTTAGCTAGCTGTAGAGTTTGTCTACTGCCTGGTGCTCATTGAAGTCCTAGCTAAGGTAATAAAAAATCATGTTTGTCAATTTGAACCAGAATTTAAAAATATATAATTTTTTATTCAAATATATTTAATGTATATTTTGCATTGCAGCTAAATTTCCACCCTGGCTATGAAGACCTAGTGGTGTACATCATTAAACAAGCCTTCAGACACTTCAAGTACAAGGATGGGTAAGGGAGCCTTTTATTAATACAGGATGTAAACTAATTTCTCTTTGATATGTTTGATTGTCATTCAGAAAGAAAATATGTTTACCAGTAGTTAATTACACTCATTGCAAAAAAATCAATCAATAAAAATTAGCCTGGTGAACAGTTGATATCATTTTTGTCATGCATTGTAGGATACAAGCCAATCCAAACTCACAGAACATTAGTGTGATAGCAGACCTGTATGCTGAAGTCATTGGAGTGCTTGCTCAGTCAAGGTATGTACACTTACATTTATTTGTTTCCCATTAATTAGTTTGAGGCAAATAATAAAAGAAGTCTTAACATAATCATGATGATGCACAAACATATTATTGATAAAATTTGCACTTTAACTGGAAAAAAATCCTTTACTAGCATGACGCATTAGTCATGAAGGTCAAAATCTAATCAGTGAAAATATATGACCTTTTCTTTGAATTAATATTAAATTGAATAAATGTACTGCAATAATTAGGGCCCCGCAAGGATTTGCGGGTGCCCTATAGTAATCACTCTGTCTGTCTGTCTGTGTACATCATTACAATTTTTTTGTTTTTTCCTAATAACTTTTTTTATGGTAGCCCAATTAAGTTCAAATTTGGTATGGTAGTTCAGTAGGCAAAAAGACATATTTTGATGCTAAGTTGGTTTCTCTATGTCCTCAGGTTTGGAGCTGGGGTGGTGGGGCAGATTCCTTAACTTTATATAAGAATGAATTCTCTTTGAAAATGTTGTAAACTGAATACTGCAATGAATGACTTGGGATTTACAAAGAAAATCCAAAGCATTATCTTTATCTGTCACATTGAGATTAATTACCAACTCTGTCTGCAAAAAGTTCAATTGAATAAAAATGCTATGGACACTATGAAATGTGGATTGAAGTATAAATGTTTTTACTTTATTTTTGTTGAAATAGCCTACATGATGAGTTCTGGTTTCATTGACTTCTAAAAAGAAGAAATAGATTAAAGAAGATATATTTTTTATTTTTATTTGTTTATTTATTTTTTTTTTTTCTTCATGAAAATTCAAGAATATTATTAATTTTTAAGGCAGTTGGATAAAAACCTCATTCTATCATTACTGAAAAAGTTATTATAAATTAAGAAGAACATTGAGAGATTTGTTAATCCCTTGGGATTAATTAGTTAGCCTGAGGCAGAAAATTTAAAAGAAGTCTGTAACATAATCATGATGATGCACAAACTGTTTGTTTTATTGATAAAATTTGCACTTTAACTGGCATTTTATATAAAAAATCCTATTATTTAGATATACATTCAGTGTTGAGTTGTTCTTTACTGCCTTATGTAAAATAAATACAAGGATATTATTTGCGGTTTTTGGATGTTAGTGAAAATATATGACCATATTAATATATCTTTGAATTAATATTAAATTGAATAAATGTACTGCAATAATTGGTACTAATTTCAGATTGAATTCCTTTCATTTCCTACATATATTCTTTTGAAATGTGCCCCTTTTCAATCATATTTTATTTACAAAACAGGTTTCAGTCTGTGAGGAAGCATTTTGTCAACGAGTGGAAGGAACTGAAGCTGAGAGATCAGACTCCCTACACAGCTCAGAGTATAATCAGTCTGCTGAATGGCCTCAAATACTTCAGGGTCAAGGTCAGTGACCTAAATATATGCTTGCGTGACCTCATTTAGACCCAATATCAAAGTAAGAATGATTTAAATTATAGAAGTGTTGTAACCTTTTAAGAAACTGAAGTTTTGATGTTTTCTGTACAGATGCATCCTATTGAGGACTTTGAGGCCTGTGTATCATTCCTCCATGACCTTGGCCATTACTTCCTAGATGTCAAGGACAGAGAAATCAAGCATGCCCTGGCTGCATTGTTTGTAGATATTCTGCTTCCTGTGGCAGGAGTAAGCATGTACACACCTAATATTTGCTGTTGTAAATCAAATCTTCAAGTTGAATTTAAATCCTGTGACACTGGATTTATAGAAAAAGTCAATTTATTGATAAAATACATTTGGAGAAGAAATGAAATCTATCAGTTAAAGCAATTAATAGTTTATAGAAGTTACTGATTTCTATTGTTAGACTGCCAAGAATGAGGTGAATGTCCCTGTGCTGAAGAACTTGGTGGAGATGTTGTATACACCTGTGGTAGACATGACCATGAAAAAGAAACACTCCAGTGTAAGTAATACAGTAAAAAATGTTGATGATGAACACCAATAAAAAACTTGAAACTACTAAATTTTTCTCCTCACAACAAAATTTTCCTTTTGCTTCGCCTGTGTTGTGTAGTACAGTATATCATGATGCCTCTTTCAAGCTGGCTTTGATTTTTATTTGGAAATGATTAGAACATAAGTTGAGACAAAACAAAAGGAAAAAAAATCTAAAAATTAAGCATACAGAAAAAAAGTGCTAAATACAAGATGAAAGCCTCAGTGCATTGAGTGCAAGGCTAGTAGTAAATGTACAGTACATACCTGCACATAAAATACCCTTTTATAAATGTTAATAAATATTTGTTTTGACTTATTACAGCAAGTCTTTCCACTTGTGACCTGCCTCCTGTGTGTCAGTCAGAAGCAGTTCTTCCTGAATAACTGGCCATATTTCCTCACCACTTGTCTGTCACATCTCAAGTCCAGGGACCCCAAAAGCTCCAGAATGGCCCTTGACTCTCTTCATAGGCTTCTCTGGTAAGATAACTCTCCTCACTTGGTATTATATTTGATTACCATAACATTTTTATGCGCCCGAATTTTTTCGGGGCGCATATTGTTTTTGTCCTGTCTGTTTGTCTGTTTGTCTGTTTGCCTGTTGTCAACTTTAACCTTCGCCAAAACTTTTGAACCTTAAGAGTGTCATATTTGGTATGCATACTCTTCTTATAAAGTTCTTTCAAATGACATCAAGGTCAATGACCTTGTGACCTTGACTGTGACCTATATGCTAAAAATAACTTTTCCAACTGTTTGTCATAACTTTTGAACCATAAGAGATAGAGACTTCACATTTGGTATGCATACTCCACTAATAAAGTTCTTTCAAATGACATCAAGGTCAATGACCTTGTGACCTTGACTGTGACCTATATGCTAAAAATAGCTTTTTCCACAACTTTTGAACCATAGGAGATAGGGACTTAATATTTAGTATGCATACTCCTCTAATAAAGTTCTTTCAAATGACATCAAGGTCAATGACCTTGTGACCTTGACTGTGACCTATATGCTTAAAATAGCTTTTTCAACTGTTTGTATAACTTTTGATTACATATTCAGTATGCATACTCCACTAATAAAACATCAAGGTCAATGACCTTGTGACCTTGACTGTGACCTACGGTATATGCTAAAAATAGACTTTTTCTAACTCCATAGGAGATTAAAATACTCCACTAATAAAGTTCTTTCAAATGACATCAAGGTCAATGACCTTGTGACCTTGACTGTGACCTATATGCTAAAAATAGCTTTTTCCACTTTTTGCCATAACTTTTGAACCATAGGAGATAGGGACTTCATATTTAGTATGCATACACCACTAATTAAGTTCTTACAAACAACACCAAGGTCAATGACTTTGTGACCTTGACTGTGACCTATATACTAAAAATAGCTTTTTCGAACTTTGTTGACGCCGGGCGCATAGTGTTTCACAAACACATCTTGTTTAGGTTAAATCTCTCCATTTAGAGTGTTTTCTTTAAATGCTTCACCTGATTTGAAACCTGTTGTTATGACATATACAATGCAAAATGACAAACTGTTAAATTTCAAATTTTAAAATCATCTTGTAAAATTCATGACATACCATTCAAGTAAAATGTTTTGATTTCAGGGTTTACATGGTGAGGATCAAGTGTGAGAGTAACAGTGTAACACACAGTCGACTACAGAGCATTGTCAGCAGCTTATTTCCCAAGGGGTCAAAGGTTGTCACACCAAAGGATGTCCCCTTGAATTACTTTGTCAAAATCATTCAGTTTATTGCCAAGGTACTTCCAAAATTTTGTTGTATATGAAGAGAAGAAATTTTAATTATGTTCTGTATGTAATTATTTGAAAAAAATTAATAACTACATAACTTAAAAAAAATTTGCAGGAAAGACTGGATTTTGCCATGAAGGAAATCATTTTTGATCTACTGTGTGTAGGAAGGCCTGCCAAAATATTTCTGTCCCATGGACCAGAGGTTAGAAATTATATTGAATGAAACACTCGAAAACTTAAAATAAATAAATATTTGACCAAACACTGTTTTAATTTCCAAAAATTAAATCTTTTCTTCAGGAAAATAGAAGTACATGTGAGTTTTAGAGATTGTAATACATAACTAATTAATCTATATACCTGCATTAATTGAAGTACATGTATTATAAACAACAGAGGATGAACATTGGTTTGCGAGCTTTCCTGGTGATAGCGGACAGTCTACAACAGAAGGATGGAGACCCCCCAATGCCCCAGGCCCAGGCCACCCTCCCCTCAGGAAGTACGGTCAGGGTCAAGAGAACGTTTCTGAACAAGATGTTGACAGACACCACAGCCAAGAGTATCGGTATATCTCAGTATTACCCCCACATGCTGAAAGCCTTTGACTCCATGTTGAGAGCACTGGATTTGCAAGTGGGCAGACAACTCCTGCAGACTAAAACAGAAAATGTTGGCAAGGAGCCAGAAGTCTTGATGGGGTTAGTAATGTAAACTATGGAGTTCATTAAATTTTTAGAAATTTGAAGTGTTGGAAGTGAATTAAGAATTTTTAAAAATTCAGCAAAGGTTTATTGGTAACATATTGTTGTTTGTCATTGGTGTTTAGGGGAGAGAGGAAGGCAAAGATAGAGCTGTTCAGGACCTGCATTGCTGCCATCCCTCGCCTGATTCCAGATGGAATGACTCCTATGGAGCTTGTAGAGATGCTGAATAGACTGACAGTACATGTTGATGATACACTGAAAGGGTAAGCAAGAAAAGCCATGAGCACATATAAGGGTGGTAATTTTGGTTTATTTTGGATATTCTAAGTTAATGATAAAAGTGATTTTTAAATACATGTACAAGTCTCTACATAGATTTGTATAGATTTGTATTTTGTTTTCAGCCATGCCTTTCAAGCTTTGCAGAATCTGATGTTGGAGTCAGCTTCCTGGAGAGAAAATGTCATCAGAGGTAATTAGATCAATGATTTGATGAATGCAGAAGTAAAATGGTAATTTTAGTGTAAAAACGTGGGTAAAACCCTCACTAATACTACACATGATTAAGGTTTAATACTCCCTTTTGTTTGAAGGTTTTGTGATGTTCATCCAGAAGGAGATCAGTGACGTGACAAATCAGTTGTTGGACAGCTCACTCCGTCTGTTGATGCAGCTTCTGGTTCAGTGGAAGGCTAGCATGAACACCAACAAGGTGAACAAAACTTCTGCCATTTCTGAATAATTTTAGCTTGGAAAATTGTCTTTTGATATGTCATACACAGTTGAACATAGGTATCTAGAACATCAATATCTTGATTATCATGGATATGTTGAAGTGAATTTGAAGTCCTAAGCATAATTTCTAAGCATTTTACCCTGGATATCTCAAATACTTCAGTCCCATCAAGTTGAGATAATGAGGCTTGACTGTATGTCTGTTATAAAAAGGAACCAGTAAAGATGATTTTGTTTTATACTTTTAGGATAAGAGCTCAGGAGATGGTAATGTGGTGTTGGTCAGACAGGAAGTAACAGATCTGAGCGTGCTCCATGAGGTAGAGGGACTGGCCTTGGTCATGATGTGCAGTGCTAGAGTTGTCACTCGTAAACTTGCTGTTCATCTGCTCAAGGAAGTCAGAAATATCTTCAACTCGGCCAATACACAGGTACATACTCTGAAACTTGCCTCTATCAACAGTCACCAAAGCTTATTATCAAGAAAGTTTTATTCTTTAAGATGTACTTGTACATTTAATGGCATAAGTAATTTGTAGTTAGACATTGCAGTCATAAAAAAGTAATTTTCATGGCCCCTTGAATTATGCAATATCTCTGAGGGAATGTTGATATTTTTTTTACTGTACATGTTATGATATTTCAGGGGAATGCTGAGCCCTGTCTGTTGGAGATGATTGACAGATCGTGTGGTGATATCATCAAGAGACTCCTCCCATCTCTTCCTCACTCAGAAAAGGTAATCTTTAATACTCAGGTATGAGTTGCTTGAGCTGTTGTAGTTTTCATCAATGCTGTTTAAAAACTTATTGCTACACAGACTTGGGAAGTTTTTAGTTGAGACTGATGTTTTTTCTTTTGCCAGTCTTTGATTATGACATCATCAAACATTGACCTGACTTGGATTATTGACCGGGCAGCCTCAGTTTGGAATCCCACTGTCATTGACCCCAAGATGCAGGAGCGACACTGGACGGCAGGGAAGGTCAGTCCATGGATGAGATGTGTGGCTATGTTTGTGTCCAGTGACTTTGGAATGACAGTCTGTCCCCATGCTGTGGGAGCATCATGGCCTATCGTGTTCACCAGGCTCAGTAATGTCTACACACTACTGGAACCAAGGTAAACTAGATAATTCAGTCAATGTTATATATTGTAAGCAATTACATTGAGAGTGGAAATTAGATGTAATTTCATTTGTCAAATTTAAAAGGAATTTTTTTCTATCCAAGAACCCATAGAAAATAGCAAATAGATAATTTTTATGTTTTATGATAAAATCAAAATCTTTGAATTCTTCATGTACATTAAATTATTACTCATCATTGCAATGTATCTGGTATGTTACAGTACAATGATAAATGAGAACCGTACTTCTCTGCTGCGTTCTGGCACATCAAACAAGAAGCCAACTACAGAGAAAGACCTGGTCATGGAGTTATGGCAGAACTATGTCATCCTGGCTTGTGCTGTGGCTCAAAAGGGAATCCCCTCTCAATTCAGATGTGCATCACCAGACCCAGGGTAAGTGTGTGATACTTATATCATTACTTTGTAATAAAACATAATTTACAGGTAAAGATGTCAGATTAAGTAGCATGGTATTCAACAAAAATCCAATTTCAGCAATGTTTTATTAAAAACAGGTGCCAATATTTGAAATAGGATTAAATTCTGTAAATGCTAGAATAAAATTTCCTGTATGTTCTTGTGTTTAATCTTATGAGCAAATAATCTTAGTTATCCAGGTTCAATCAAGGGTGTACAGGGATTTAGCCCGGGTTTTATTCCATACAACCAAAGGCCGAAGGGTGTATGGAATAAAATGTCCTGATGTCCTGTATCTTCTTGTGTTTTTTTTATTTCCTATGTACCCATAAAAATTCTTTGTAAATACCAGAGTCTAATCAACTGTGTTTCAATCTATCGATAAGATTAACTACGTACTACAATGCATCGTGACATATGATATTTCGTTTTTATCATAGAGAAAGTATGCATTGTGACGTCACGTTTTATTTACCCCTGGCTCAAGTCGGGTGCACGGAAATTTACACCTGACTCTGTAACCAATCAAAGCTCATGTTACAAGCTACATAGGAAATAATATTTGTAATACAGTTCTTATCATGTGATACCATTAACTACCGTAAATTCTGATTCATTTACTGTGATTTTTTAATGACAGGTCTTCCCCAGACAGTTCTGGAGGAGATAAAAGTGACAGCATCAAGAACAATAACTCCTGCTCAGCCACTGCCCTTTTCACGATGTTAGTTCCGCTTATGAAGTGTGAGAACATTGATATGAGAGACACCATTGTAAATGGACTGGGATACACAAACCCTGCAGTGTTCAGGTATCTTTAAAAAAAAAAAAGAAATTATGTTTTCCTCTTGAGAATGAGTAAATGAAAAATTATGAAATTTTGCAGATATGATTTGAGAATTTTTTTAAACTTAGAATTGAAAGTAAAAGTTAGTTCATATTTATATGAGAAACTTTGGAATTACCACATTGTAAAAAGTTAATCACTGTTTTATCCAAATTGTTTATGCAAACTGGATTTACTGACGTAGCATACAAGATGTACTAAGCACCCGTGCACACTATATACATAATATAAAGCAATCAATGAAATATATTTGCTGACCGTTTTCAGAGAGCTGATGGATGAACTGGTGGGATTTTTAAAAGAGGCCATAGATAGGAAGGAGGGAAATTTCAAACGGAGAAGAAAGAAGGATGTTCTTAGAGTTCAGCTAGCTCATATATTTGAGCTGATGGCTGCTAATAAGACATTTGCCCAAGCGTAAGCACATTTTGATAAATGACTTTGTAATTATAAATTGGCATAAAGACACTAATGTTAATTAAAAAGTAAATATTAAAATGGCTTCCACAGACCAAATATCATGGTTGATTTTGCTGCATTTTTCTATTGAGGAATGCATTAATTTTGAACAATTATTGTTCTCAACAATGTTAAAAAAATCTTTTATGACATACATGAATATATTTCTGAGACTTTGATTAATTATTTGATGATTCAGGGACTCTGGTGTGATAGACAAAGAGGAACACTGCCTGAACAAGACGTTTGTGGAGTACATTGATGGAGCACGGCAGTACCTGGAGAGTGAGAGTGACCGGAACCTCCCCGACCTACAGGACATCAGGCTCCACTTCAGTCGCTTTGTACGGGAACTCATCAGTCATACCCCAAGTAGGTGTAACAAGCTTGTTTCTGTGGTATTATTAGTGTAAACCCTTATCTACGAGAAAGAAATTGCATGTTTATTTAACTGTGGCAGTTGTGCAGTGAAGCAATTACAATTCAGTTTCTTAAACATAAATATCGCAAATAACTCGAATATTTCGAATACCATGAATAGGTCCAAGTGATTTGGAAGTCCCAACCACTTTTCTTTATGTACTTAATTTTGATATCTTGAATCTTCAGTTATCTCAAGTTTTTTCCTTACCCATATCTTTGAGATATTGAAGTTAGACAGTATATGAATTCCTTTGCAGTCTACATTCTCATTTTTTGTTTTATTTTCCAGTGGAGTACAAGCGTACCTTGTTAACCCGTGACCTGAGATACAGTCTGCATCTCATTGGGAATTGTGTGCTTTATTCACACTAGTGGAGATTCCACCATAGAAGGCACTGCTGTATCTAACTCAAAGTGTCATTTGTACATAAAAGTATTTCGACTTGTTTAGTAAATACTGTAGTCTAACTTGTTACATTATTATACCCCCCCCCCCACTTGAAAAGTGGGAGGGTATATAGTAATTGGTATGTCCGTCCGTCTGTCTGGCAAGTTCTTATCCGCAACTCCTCTTATACACTGAGTGAAATTTAATGAAACTTTCACAGAATCTTTATTACATATTGCCATTGTGCACCTCCTATTTTACTTTTTTAGACACATATTTTAGGTAGCAAAACATGGACATTGCTCTTTTATTCTAACTTGTTCAATTATTTCTACATACATGTATAAGTTTTTCAAATGATTTGGTATATACTGTTATCTTCCTCTTATAATAGTCAATTTGGAAAAAAAAAAATACAGTTGAACTTTGTATCTTGCACATTGATATCTTGAATGCCTCAGATATGTTGAAATGAGTTAGAAGTTTCAGACTATTTCTCTATGTATATTAACCCCAATATCTCAAATCCCCAGTTATTTGGAAGATCTTTCTTGAACCCATAAAGTTAGAGATTAACAGATTTGACTGTGTTTAGAATTAGTATTTCCTCTCTCAACAACAGGGTGTCTAAGGAGGAGATAACTGATTTAGAGTTGTCTGCAGTCAGAGCTATGTCTGCTGTATTGTGCTGTGGTCCTGTGTTTGATCCAAATGGTCTGAATGATGACGGCTACATCTACAAATGGGCTCACATGCTGCTCAGTTCCCATGAAGACAGGGTATGCTTCTTGTTTATCATTTTCTTGTTTTTTTTTTATTTTGCTAACGAGAAAAGATTTTAAAACCTTTAATCATGCACATATCATGAGTTGACTAATTTCTTCAAGAACACAATATTCTTTATGCAGTTTTTAAAAATCATTTACTTGGTAGGTTAATTTTTTTTCCTCTCCAAACAAAGCAAACTGATTCATTGATAAATTCAATCAACAATGTTCTATACTTAATTGGACAAATAAATTAATTATTGTTGAGTACAGAAAAATAACTAGATAAAAAGTACATTTTTAGAATATTTTGTTGTTATGCTGTGTCTATATAGATATACAGCAACTGAATCAATATTAAAGGTTGATTAGAAGTATAATGATTTTAAACTGGATCTATTAAGTTTTTAAGTATAAATTTTAAAATAATGAGACTTATAAACAAATAAATGTAACTAGGAATATGTTAAAGCATCATATAGTTATAATTTGTAACCAATTTTTAAAATAGAATCATGAATGTAGCTGGGTGTGTGGTTTACAGTTTTGGAGCCAATGACACAATCAATTCATGTAGCTTTTATCATTCATTTAACAAGTGGCGATCATTTGTAGTGTACTGTTCACCATTAATTAAGATTTACATGTATATCTCATATTAAATGTTTTAATTTAATGTAGCTGGGTGTGTGGTTTATGGTTTTATTTAGCAGATGACACAATCATCTTTCATTTACATTGGATAATTGTGGAATGTTTTTTTATATTTTTTAGGGATTTTTTTTTTTGGTTTATTTTTGAAAAAATTCCTTTTGGTTGATATCCAATTTTTCAGAAATTTCCTAAATGTAAACAAGTCTCATTAAAACGTCTTTCTGCACGTAAAAATCACATCATTTACAAGATTTTCTTGAATTATAGGCTTGCAAATGAAATGTTTTATATGTGTAGCAAGGCATTCCCCCACAATTTGTCACAAAATCCTGTAAATTTCTTGTGTAATTTAAAAAATTGATTTCATAAAAAATAAGGACATGCATTTCTCCAGCTGATGTTGTCAATGTGTTAGGTTTCCTTGTACTGTAAAAAGGGTGAGTGGGCATTACTAATTCTCTGATTATCTCCTGCTAATGCAGATCAAAGATCAGGTAAGGTAGCATGTCTTCTTCTGTAGGCTTCTGTACAGTGGAATGCTCCCTCTGTATTTTAGTTTTACAACTGTTTTTTTTTTTTTTAAATTAATTTTTTTTTTATTTTTAAAAATATTCTTTTTGGTTGACATCCAATTTTTCTTTGTTTGTTGTAATTGTTCTTGAAATGTATAGGCATTTTTGACCTCCCATTAAACACTCAATTTGTTATGAGCAGAAGAAAAAAACTTTATTACATATTAACAATAAGAAAAGTGATGATCTTGTTTATCCTCAACATCTGCCACATGTTTTTGCCAATAAAAAGATATAATTTTTGCAAAGTATGTTTTACAATTTTTAATTCCTGCATGAGCTATGCAAATGCTTCTGTAATTTAAATCGAAATGTTTATTTCATAAACAAATAAAGGACATGCATTTCCTTTCACAGTTTATGTTCAACAATGTGCTTACTTTCCTTGTAATTCCACCGACTTTTATTTCTTTATTTCATTCCCATATTTGTAAGCATGACAGAATGTCAATATTTTCTGACTGCTATCAGTTTTATGTACACTAAATGACATGCTATCAGAGGTAGAAAATCTATTACATGTAACTATCTTGCAGCTTATTAGAAAGTCCATTCATAGTTATAAAATGATCTATTTTCATATCATATGATTCTGTTCATGGCTAAAGTTTGCAAAGTCTTAAATGATTTATCTGAACAGAAAAATACATGTACTTAAACATATGTAATATGAGTTTGTTTACTTTTATTGAAACTTCCACAATACTTATTTGTTGAAAAAAAAATTGTATCATTTTATCATCTTGTAAAATCATTCATTTGTTGCTTATCTATTGAAAAAAATTTTGAGATTGCTAAAAATTCCACTACATAATGAGGTTTATCTGTATTAAAATTTTGACTTTATTCTTGCTACATTAAAATTTCCTACTTCTGATTTATACACAGATCTATGAACTGGCCAAAGAGACAGTGGTGTTATTGCTGGACTTTAACCCTGACACCAGTGGCCTACTGGACTGGGTGATTGACCGCTGTTACACAGGAGCCAATGAAGTGGCAGATGGATGCTTCAACGCACTGGCAGCTGTTTTCCAATCCAAGTAAACTTCTTTTTTAGAAAACTGCATTACAGAATAAACTTAGAATTTTATATGTAATTCAATTCATGTAAATTTCTGTATTAGAAAAACTGCATAAAAGTATTAACTTAACATTTTATGTGTATATAAATTGCATTATGGAAGTTTATTGAAAAATTTGAATGAAATTACAATTCAGGGAGTATCCTTGTGATCATGTGGCCATGTTGAACCTAGCCCTTCTGAATGTTGGAAGTCCGCGGATGCAGACACATGAGACAGCAGTACAGCTCCTTCACCTCCTGGATACGAGGTTTTTCCAGGAGCCGGTTTTCTACACAGAATCAACAGCAGAAGACGTCAACCAGGCACGTCTGCCACTGAACGACATCTTCCTGTCTGTGTCCTACTGTCACGCTCAGATGAGTCTATCAGAACAACTGGCCAAATTCCATCCAGAAATCACACTGGACATGTTCTCTGGTAATTATTTCTTGAAAGAATGAAAAGTTTTAGTAAGTTCTTTTTTGAAAAATTCAAATCAGTTTCATTTTTATCCATGGAAGCTTGTAAATGTTTTATATAGAAAGTTTATCAATTTAAATTCCTAAGTTTTACTTTCACAAGTTCTATTTAACCATTATTGAAGAAATGAGAATAAAAATTATGGAGACTTTTTTTTTCTTTCTTCTAGAAATAACTCACAGATTTCAGACAGCAAAACCGTCTGTCAGACAAACTCTGTTGAGGTACTTGTTACCATGGTTACATAACATGGAGCTTGTTGACCCCTCCCTACCACAGGTCAGCCCTTTCACTAACTTCCTGACTCGTCTCCATGACAACCAGGTGGAGACATACAAACCTCCACTGAAGGGGGAGGGATGGGGATCACCAGAAGCCACAAAAATGGTGCTGAACAATCTGTTTTACATCACAGTCAAGGTAAGTGTCCATTCTAAAATTTTAGTTTCCCTTGCACAGTTTCTTTGACTTTATGTAAGATTTTAGATTTTATGTCTAGCATAAAAGTCATACTGGTTTAAGTTATATGGTATAATATTTTAGAAGTTGTTTGCCTCATTATCATTAAACAAAATATTTGATTGTGTCTGATTCTTTCTTCTGTGTATTTTTTTTTGCCAGTTTGGAGATGACCATTATAGAGAGATAGAAGAGCTGTGGGCAGCATTGGTCATTGGCTGGCCAAACAACTTACGAGTCATCATTCATTATCTTGTCATCTTAACAAACATGGCTGCTGCTGAACTCCTTCCATTTGTAAGCTTTTTTACCTGAAAGTTATTCAGATATGTTCCTACCAATCCTATCATTGTTCTGACATGCACAATGTTTATGTATTTCAAAATATAGGCCAAGAGGGTTGTGAGTTACTTGGGGCGAGCTCGCCCTGAGCGTCTGGTGGATGAGCTGATGAATGAGTTACAGACAGTGGAGACACTCAACATGACGATCGAGCGCACTCAAACACCACCATACTTCAGACTCTCTCATACCAAGCGTAACCCAGTCACCATCAATACAACAGATGACGAGAAACTAGAGACTCATCCTGACGCTCCTCTAGAGAAGGGAACACTGCATACAAAACGACACAGTGCTAACGAAGACTTACCAAGTGATAGGTCAGTTAATCAACCCCTGCTTGATTTCCATCACAACTTTTAATTTATTATGCATTGATAGTTTCATTTTTGTCTTTTCAATATTTCAGTACACCCCAAACAGAATCTACAACCTCTCTACGAAGTGTCTCTAGCAACTCATCTTCCCAAGATCAGTTCCTACCAGATGCGGGAGGGCGGCTGGGTTCTAGTCAATCTTTAAACATAATTATCATCAGAAATATAAGTCTTACTTCTAGATAACTACTTTTAAAACTTGCAATTTTAACTAATTAAAATTAATTTTAAGAAATAAATACATGTATTAAATGAAAGGTGGGACTAATATCAGTAAAATACCCATTGCATGGATTTTATAAAAAAATTAATTCCCACTCTGTTTCGATAGTCCTATATTGTTTAAAGTAAACAAAATATTATTTTCCACTTTTTAAAAAAGAAATTTCAATTAACAGTTTTGAATTTTTTATGTAAGTAAATGATTTTTTGGTAAAAGTCTGACAGAAATCTGAATAAGTTTTAACTGTTCTATATTAATTTCATTAAAGTTCAAAATTTCGATTATAATCGATTATGCTCAGCCGATTATTACCGATAATCGATTATGATTTTTTTCCCAATTCCCCATCACTAGTGTCTGGTTATTTAAGGCTATCTAAATTTAATTCCCTGGTTCTCAGGCCTATTTTCTCTAAAACAGATGCGGGAGGGCGGCATTTATTTTTCATTTTATTGGCAATAAAGTAGATGAGGGAGGTATTTTTTTTAATTTTAATTTCTGAATTTTCTTTAACATAAAGATATTTTTTTAATCACATTTCTGGTCAAAATTTCTGCTTTATCCACTGCTTAACAGCGTGTAAACATCGTAGGTAATCAAACGAAGTAGCCAAAATCTCATTGTAAATGGCTGGGTAAATGTCTTTGTCCTTACATATCTCATCAGTGCCTGGTTATTTAACCACAGTGCTCTGAACCAAGGTTAACATTTACAGAAATTATGAGTGGTTGGTGGTAGGACCAGATATTGATATTTAATTGAATGTTTCCCCTGTAGATGAGGACATCCACCTTTCTGGTCCCTCCTCTGCTAGGGTTCCAGAGACCAGAAGAAGTGAGTCCCCTGTCCCCTACCCTCTACCCATGCCAGCCTATGGAGGATATTTTGCCCCACTTTCTGAATTTCTTCCTGAGAGTCTTCATCCTACTCCTGGTTTCCATAGGTGAGTTTGCCATTAAACAACAAAAGAGAAACAGCATTATAGATTGAAAAATCCCTTTGCCCTTAGCTTACTTGCAAAAAAATTGTAATGTAAATGTCAAATTTTGACATTTCAGGAGCAACATAGCCGTAATGTTTCTGTCGGACTTGGTGCTAGATGGCCTGGAGATTGACTGGTCCGCTCATCTGCCATTGATGTTACACGTCATCTTCTTAGGTAAAGAGAAAAACCTACCAGATTCGAATGTTATTTCAAAATTACATACGCACTTTTCTTTGACTTCACAAAGGAGGTGTTGAGTAGCTGCTTCTTACACATAGAATATATTTCTTGTTTGTAGGCCTCGATCACATGAGGGCTATGGTTTATGAACATTGTAAGAAGCTTTTAGAAAATCTGATTCTGTTGGCCTCGGCACAGGAAGGTCAGAACATTGCCAGGATGTTACTGGGTTACCGTAGTAACATCTCAGACACTCTCAAACTTATAGCAGAAGATAGAGAGGGGCCGGGAATTCTGGGTAATTAACACATAATTAAAAAAGATTCATTTCAGTAAAATCTGTAGACCATACCTATGCAAAATCTTAAGTGAATTTATAAGTTAACAATTTCCCTCTACCGGTAAATAATTATTTTGCTTTTATAATTCTAGAGAGCAGTACAGAAGACCCAATCTCTCGGTCCACCATTAGTGTAGAGAGCAAGGACAGCAACCAGACACTGATTCCTGATGTTGCTGTAGCAGCTGAGCAACTCAGTGACCCAGATTCATTTGACACAGTAGAGGATATTGTCAAAGCTATCTTAGATTTCATGGAAAGCAGGTAATATATGTTCATGTATATTAAGCAATTTGTGGATAATGTGGGTAAATGTTATTTGCTTGCGTTAAATAAAACTAACGAAGTTCACTCTTTTGTAAACAGACGTGGTCGGCCACTGTGGAGTTGTGAAGATATTACACCGCGGACTCTGAAGACACAGAGTGCTTACCAACTGGAGTTCTTCCTGAAGTGTGTGGTTAAGTGCTTCAAGGAGTTGTCTCCCATTGCTCTGGTAGAACAGAGGTGGTCACATGTAGCCCTACAGCTTGCATTGTCCTGTTCATCTAGACACTATGCTGGAAGGTCTTTTCAGGTAAAATGAACAAGAATGCAAAAAGAACAATTAATTTTTACAGTGATATTGCTCTGATGGGATTTACTACCGTAAAAACTATGTTACTTTGTATCTTGTAGGTGTTGCGAGCTCTTCACATAAGACCCACCACTCAGATGTTATCAGACATTTTGTCTCGTCTGGTGGAGACAGTGGCAGAACAAGGAGAAGACATGCAGGTCAGGAAACACTCTTTAGATTACATTACGGAATAGCCTTCTTCTAATTGCTTAGCAAAATTTCTATCATACCAAATTTTTTTAACAGACTGCATATTTGTTTTAGTTCAGGATTTACTTATGCATTACAGGGTTACGTTACTGAGATTATTCTGACACTGGAAGCTGCCGTAGACAATCTGGACATTGAGATGCGTCCCATGGATTACATGAGGGAGATCTTTATGTCGACTCCAAACCTGGCCAAGGATTTCTCTGAGGGTAGAAAGGGGTCCCTGATGGCCCCCAGACAGGCTACTAGTATCCCCCACCACGCACGCAGCACGAGTTACTCTGTGACTGGTCCCCCTCACAGATCTACTCACCGTTAGTAAAGATTAACCCGCAATTCTAATGCTGTCTGGTGTTAATAATCTCTTAAAATTATTTCAAAGAGGAAACTTCTTAATAATAAAGTGTGGCTCTGTTTCTTTAACTCCATTTTCTTTCATTGATGTGCTTAAAATCTGTTGTGAGTCAAGTCTAAATTTCACTTGTGTTTTAACATCACTGTTTGGAAACGTCTGCTGAAACACTCTGAGTGATCTTCCTGTTGCTTACCTCTTTCAAATTGTTTTTGACTTTATCATTACCTTTGTTAGTTGACTTGCGGTTCCGAGCCAGTACCGACATTGACAGACTGAGGTCTAACATACCACGCTCGCGTAGCGCCCAATCCCTGAAGAATGCGGACACCAGTGGAACAGAGGACAAACTGACCATCATGGCTCAAATGTTCTGGATAGCTGTGTCCTTGCTTGAGTCTGATTTTGAGTACGAGTTTCTGTTGGCTGTGCAGCTTTTGGAGAGAGTAAGTTCTGTCGTAAAATGACACAATTTTATGTACAATATTAATTGGTAACTTTGTAATGAAAAGGTTGTAGAAGTTTGTTTGAATTAAAGTTGCAGATTTGTAGCAAAGGTCCTTGGGCCTATTGTTGTTATTTAGATTTCAGTAAAACTGTACTCCATCACTTTGTTTGGAAAGAGCATGTGGTTATCACATACATGTAAACTACAGTGCATACATTAATACAGAGACATGTTCTTTGTAATGTAGATTCTGCAACACATTCAGCCAGAGAGGACAGATTGTAGAGAGAGACTGGAGAAAATCCAGCAGCAAATAAAGTGGACCAACTTCCTTGGAGTCCAAACCCTACTGCTCAAGGTTAGAATTTTGATGAAATCTTTTGTACAGTTGAACTAATGTTGTGAATTCTGTGAAACTGTGTACCAGCAATATATTGAAGTATATTCCTCTCTGATTGTATAACTACAGTATGTTGAGTTTAAACAATTTTTGGAATTTTTTTGAAGTAGTCTCACCTTCCTTTAGATATTGCGATTTGACTGTATTTCAAAGCTGATTGGAAAAATCATGCTATCTAGTGCCTGTTTTTAACACTTTCATGTTCCATATAGAAGGTTCTCATTGTATAAATGTTGATAGAGGTGTTATCTTTTAAAGGGTTTCACATCCTCAGTGACAATGGAAGCTGTGTGGTCTTTGTTGTCAAGATTAACTATCAGTATAAATGCCCCTGTGGTGGACCCCACAGAAAACCTGGGTATGTTATAGCACATCAAAGCAACATAAATACTTATCATTTAATGTTCTGTAGAAGAATACTGTAGAAGAATAATTTTTCAGAAAGTACATGTATTTAACTTAATTAAGGATATGGTAAATTAAAATCAGGCTTTTGTATGAAAAATGATGACATTCTAATTTCAGGCTTCCCTATAAATGTGATAGCATTATTGCCAGTTCTTGTCCAGAATTATGAAAATCCAAGTCAGAAGTGCCGAGATGCTGCTGATCATATTGTTCAGGTAAACTCTTCATTGATTGATAATGATAAGTTTTAATGTACCATTAGTAACATGACTACAGATTTAACCTGTCCATCAATTCAAAATTTTTATAATGTAATTATGATCCTTAAAGTAGAGAATTCTGAAATTACTAAAAGATGAATATAGCAGATTGACATCCTAAATATCAAGCAATGATTTTTGTTTCCAGATTTGCTCTCAGAAGTCTGACCGACTTAACAATCTGGGGACTGTGATGTCCCTATACAGCCGTGGTACGTTTGGTAAGGACAGCTTCCAGTGGACTAAGTGTGTCATTAAGTATGTCCTGGATGTGTACGCCTCAGCCAGCCTCAGTATGATCAGCTTCCTGGTGGAGGTAGGTCTTAACTGTACAATGTACAGGTATATAGTGTCCACGTAGTATCTTAAGAACCATTTGCTTGACAGACATGGAACTTGGTAGGAAATTTAGAAGTATATTACCCCTAATAACTAGTATAAAACTTATTTTGACGTATTTTCTCAATATCATAACAGATTATTTTGATTTAAAGTTGATTTTTTTAATATTGCTTTATAGGAGACGTAATGTTTCTGAGACATTTCTTGTAATCTGACCATGGTACTAGTATTCCACCCCCTCCCCCAATATGATTTTGAAATGCCAGATTTTATCCTCTCTTTCTGTTGTTAGGTATTGGAGAAGGGCCCTAACAGCTACCAGTCCTCAGTGTTCCAGATCTTACACTGTATGGTCCACTACATTGATGTCAGTTCTCCCTCATCCTCCATTCTTAACTCCGAGCTCATCCAGGTCATCAGCAAACATGTCGAGGTCAGATCTCTTGCTTAAACAAAGCTCGTTTAAAAAACATGTTCATTTTTTCTAAATTTCAAATCTGAACTAAAAGGTAGTATAAAAGTCTATGGATTCATTTGCTTCAATGATTTGATAAATTGTTGACCTTCTATTCCTAATGATTTTAATTCAATGGATTATTTTCAAAGTAAATTTGGTTTGTTTTGTTTGTGCTTGCATTGTAAAGTGTTGAACACAGTGGAAATGAACATAATGCACCAGTTCTATGATTTTATAAAGGGTTCACATCACAAGGAGGCCTTGAAGATCCTGAAGTTAGCGGTGACTCGATCCTCTACCTTGGCGGCGGCCCCTCTATCAGCCACCACCACCACCACCCACGACTACAACCCTCCTGTGACACATACTTCTTTTGCTGAGGCAGAGATGTTCATGACCAAAAAGGAGTTACCAGGTCCTTCTTCAATTTTATATCCAGACAGCAATGCAATTTTTAATTTTTTTTTTTCTTGGCACTAAATTGCAGGTTGTAGATACATGTATTTAACATTTTTATCATGCAGTTTATTTCTGGTTTTAGGAAGGACATTGGATTTTTCTGTTGATATGAGAACAGTGCCCATTGTTGGTCGTAACTTTGTCAACACAAGTATTCATGGTCCACTGACTGAACAGCCCACCTCTCTGGAAGTTCCAACTTCACCCACACGTAAAGGTACAGGGGACGGAGAATCCTGCTGGAGGAGACCCCAGAGTTCACAGGTATTAGAACTTACATGTAATAGTGAAATGGGGAATTCATTGTGAGGTCAAGTGAAGGGTCAGATTTGTTAGGTCACCTCTTTTACATTAAAGAATTACTTACTAATAATCTTTTATGTGTGTGTTTTGTAGCCCCGAGTACGAGAGAGACTGGCAGAACTCCTGACATGTTACGGTCAGAAACGTCTTCCCAAGAGTCCTTCTGTGAGTACAGTTCTTCTAATTCTAACATTAGAACAGAGACGTGGCATGTACCTGACTTGTTATTGTATTAGTATAATGTCACCATCTAAAATGTCTGTTTTAGTAGTCTAGTAAAGTTTCATATAGATTAGCATAATTATAATCTGAAATTTAACAAATAACTGTATAGCAGTAGGTTGATTGATTTGCCATACTTCAGAAGTGTAATACCGGTACTATTTTATGGCTAACACTGCTTGCAGTATTCACAGCATAAACTTTGCTATGCTGCTTAGAAAGTGTGATATTGATATATGCTTCAAAGAGGAACTATATTTCACTTTATACCATAGTTAACTCTGTTGTACATTTTCTCTGTATGAGAGATTTTTTTCTAAATTCAAATTTGCTTCAGCTTTTGGAAATGATTCTGAGAAGTTCAGGGCAGGAGTTTGACTTATTTTGAATTTGCATGTTTTGAAATCCCCACCCTTACACCATTGTGTATAGAGACTATAGACATACTTCTAGTGATACATTTTGTAAATGTTAATTCTGTGCTACTAGAGGAATGATTTGACATTTGTTTACTAACCTTGCGTACTTTAGGATACTGTTATTAACAAGGTAAGCGAGAACGTCGGAACTCGGTGCAGAAACAAGGAAGCAAGGCTGGTAATACAAAAATCTAACTTACTGCATGTAAATTTTTATTCTAATATCAGCAGTTACAAAGGTCTTTGTTCTATCACATCAAATTATGAATCAGAATGTTTATTTATTAAACTTTTAAAGAGAAATAATTGTCTTGCATTAATTATTCTAATCAGAGTCCTATGTAAATAATGAATTACCAGCCTACTCTTCCTTTCTGTATCAGCATGTTCAACATTAATAGCCAACTGTAGGGTCTTGTCAGATGCATGCTTGCAGATTTAAATAATTCCTTGTATATATACACAGTATGTACACATATTTCCTTGTATGTCAGTATTGGTTTAAAATGTTTGCTTATTGTATTGTCCGCTTCATTATATCAGATTCCATATAACAATTATAAAATTAAGTGTATATGTAAGTTTGGAAAGGAACTGATCGAGTACTACTGGGTTTATGGTAATAAAGGTCATCAGTGTAGATATAAATGTCATTAAACAGAAAAACGGGAAAAGGTTTATATGTTATTCTGTCTTTTCGAAGAATTTTAGTTATTCTTTTTCTCAGAGCAGACCATGCATGCAGCTGTTTCATACAAATATCACAGATTCTACCAATTTAGCACACTCCTTATATTGGATTGGGTTTACAGTAAAAATAAAAGTGACAAAAGAATGAAACTTGTTTTACAGAGAGAAATTATTGTATGTTAATTATTAAACTGCTTAAAGTGCAAAGGTTAATTTGATAGTTAGGTATAACATCATTTCATTGGTTGATTTTAGGTCATATTCAGCCAATCCAGCGACACTTTAGATCACCAACAGAGTGTAGCCTCCAGTGGAGAAGAAACGTCCACAGCGGATGGTGGATCCAGTAAGTAGAATAAAAGGATATCATGTGTTTTAATTTTGGGGGTAAATAATAGGAAAAGATACATGTATTGGTGGAATATTTCAGATAATGAGGTGTTTTTTTTTCCATTTTCAGGTGACATTATGAATGAACCAAATGTGAATGACATCAACATGACCATTAAAGGATTCGACTTCCTTAATGAGGAGGATTCGGTTCGTTTTCATTTTGTCTTCAATAATTTAATACTTTTGATAACATGATGAATTACAGTTGGAGATTGATTTGGTAACTTTGAAATCATGCATATACATGTATTAAGGATATCGATATACAGTAAAACCTTACTATATATACTTTTCGCAAAATTTTTAAGCATTGTTTCTATATACATGAAAGTAGCTTATAAGCTGATGAAAGAAATAAGCTTAAGATGACTGAAATCAGAAAAAGTAAAACTGCTAAAATTTTGACACATTGTTTATATACATGTAGGACCCCGATTATTATTCTTCCTTGGATACCATCAAGCCATATGCTATAACATCATCAGAGAGAGACAACAGGCCTACTAGAGGCTATGGCAGTGTGCCTGATCTTAAACTGTTGGGTAGCCTCTCCTCAACCTCAGAGAAAGCGGTGTCACCTAGTGATAGCATCAGTCTCAAAGAGGTGATAATGTCTGATGTAAGTGTGGGCGGATTTATATATATTAAAATATATTTATTGAAATTTTGCATCTTTACTACACGTTTCTAAATAATTTAACAAGGTCTTTGAGAGTAAAAGTTAGGCTAGTTTGTGTGTGCAGGTGGATTGAGTTGGTGAACATTTTCTTTGATTTACTATTGGTTAAGAATTTTCATTGTCTATTTTCATACTGAACCATCAAATCAGATTAATTCTTTTGTAATTCTTTTGTAATATAAGTGACCAAGCCTTTTTGCATCTGTTTTTAGTAGACAAATAAATCTAAATTCAAATTACGTAATTTTGCAGATGCGCGTTCCGTATCCGGACGGCTCTTTTTTACTACAAAATGTATTTTTACGTTATAAATTGGTTCATTTATCCGGACGGTAAATTTTTAATTTTTAATTTGTACTTCCATTCTTGTCAACATTCACGCCTGAACTGAGTGATAATTGTTATCAAAACACAAGACGATCACCTGTGACCTGTTATGAATGTTACGATGATTAGTCCACAGATTAAGCGTGCTAAGTGGATATGGTCATAATACACGAGAGATCGATACACAAATGAAAATAAACAATTAACTGTGTTGGTAACAGAAAACTGCAGATATTTATACTTTTAGTACAGAGCTGGTTTTAAATATTTTTCATTATTTCATATTAAACTCGCATGTGCACACACAAATCGGTATTGTAATTTTCATCTGTAGATTGGTGGCAGTTATCATCGAAAAAAAAACTAAAACATTCAATCAAATTTGAATAATTTTAGACAATCAATGATTTCGCTTGGGATGATTACTGCGTGAATTTATTATGTCCGATTCAGCGTGGATGAGTGTTCAAATTAAAATTAGACTCGATACTGACAGCTCACTTGGGTGTAATCAAAGCTGCAAATGAGACAATTCGCTTGGCTATGTTCATCAATTTATAGAAAGTAGAGAGTAAAAACTAAGCTGGGTAATTAAAAATATGCCCATAAGCAGCGGTATATCCAATGTTTGTCATTCTGCTCTCCAGCTACAACCATGTTTACACCACCGGCAAAAAAAATTAGTAGCCTAAAAGATGTAAAGATATATTGTTTAAAAAAATAAATTATTTTTTTATGATAGCATTTATCTTTCTTTATATATAAGAGTTACAATACAAATACAGTATACCTGGAAGAGAAATCAATAGAATTCAGATATCCGACGCTTCTTATGACAATTTACCTGGGAACCAAAGGGAGGCGCCACTGTATACTATTAAGACCGGTTCGCGGCGAGAAATATTCGCGATGACGAGGCTCTCGCGAACCTCGCGAAAATTTCTCGCACGCGAATAAAAGTTGGTTTACAGTATAAGTGAGCCAAATCTAAATTCAAATTACTGCAGATGCGGTGATTCCTGCATTCCGACAACACCTAGCACAAGAATCACCTTATATGTTAGGTGAATAAATCTAGAAACCTCCAGTTCCATCATTATTTCACTTGGTCACATAAGAGTTATATCCCTTAGATTGCAGTCGGTTGTAACAACATTATTTTGAAATTTCCAAAAAAATGAGGGGAGAAAAAGAATTTGTTCAGCATGATAAAAAATTAGTCTGATGTTTATGAATTTTTTTTTGAAAGTCAGAAACAAATGAGGAGGATGGACCGTCCTCTGATTTACCTGGAGGGACCACCATTGTTGTGCCTCACCCTGGACTTGATAACAACAGTCGTTTTATAATATCATAATGTTAAACAGATTTTCTTTTTTAAATGTGTGTGTACTTTTATATAAAAGACAAGTGTGTGTACAGTTTAAGCAAGAGCTGGTGTCTTTATTTTACAGACACAGCCTCCATAGTGAAGAGAGTGGGAGTGACATTGATATGGTGGACATAAGCTCAAACTCAGCCTCCCCCAGCTTTAACCAGGCCAAGGAGACCTTTGTTTTTATGAGGTTACAGAACGATGAGGTAGAGGACGTGTGGAAGGCTCACATTGCCAAGGTGATGTCAGAATCCTCAGCCGTTCTCACGGTCAAGACATCACAGATCTTCCCTAGACTTTACAGGGTAGGACATCAGTTTATCATAATCATTGGATTGTAATGTAATAATTCTTTTATTTGTTTCATAAAGAACACACAATTTTATTGGAATGTAAATGGATAATTTAAATCAAGTTTCAAAATTACAGGAACTAAGAAGACGCCTGGACGCTATGACAAAGGAGGCGTGTTACTACATCTCAAAGACAGAATCTCTGAAGCACATGGCAACACAGTTCAATATCCTTGTCTAGCATTCAGCATAATAGAACATATACTTTGATAAATATCCAAATATCAAATTTTATGAAAAAGAACCACAAGTTCATATCCTCCATGAAGCACTAAAATGTCATACTTCAGTTTGTTTCTCTATTAACTTGGAAATCAAAGTCCCTTGAAGAATTCATTTTACTTAACCTTGCCTTGACCCCTTGAAAATATTTGATTTACAGTATATAGTAATACAGTATTTATTTATCTGTACATAAATAATTTCTTTAACCAACATTAAGACAGATAATGGACCTGATTTTCCTTCATATGGAGTGTCCTTTCTTCTATGTCGACTCTGACACAGTAAGTAAACATTAACAGGTAAATGTACAATGAGGAGTTCTTATACATTTGAAATCTTAAACAACAAATATAGTACAAAACTGACTTTCTGTAAATATTACTTTGGACAATAAAAAAAAATTCCAAAATAAACAGAAACAAAAAAAAAAAACTAATACAAGAGTTTATGATTTAGTTGACAGGCAGTAGAACTGTTGAGAAGCACAAGTTCAGTGTACTGGAGATCCAGGACTATTATGAAACTTACTGCATGAGGAAGGATCTGGCAGAGCAGGTACGGAGGTCCCTAAACTATCTCACTACATGTATTACAATACAGTTAATACATGTAGATTTACCTTTTTCCTAACCATGGAATACATACATGCCAACTTTTGAAAATTCCCATGGGGGATTTTGCGCGTGACGACATTTTTCATAGCTTTAAATTCGCGACATTTTGTCGTGAAATTAAATGATTATGACATGATCCTTTTTTTAAATTTATAATATAATTAATATCACTTATCAATACTACTAAAGGATAAAAATAACACACAAATAAGGTTTTTCTTTCCAAAATGGAAATATTTTTGCTCAAATAGGTGCCTCTCTCACTAAAGAAGGGATAGTTAATTACATAGGTAAACTTTTTTTACCAGCTAGGACACATAATTTGGTGAAAAATTGAAAATTGTATAACTTTTGATACTGTAAAGTACTGTTTCTGGGAACATTTATGAGATTTTTATATTTTAATTGATTAGAAATTCTAATCAGATATATTAAATTTAAAGAAATTTTGAGAAATTGCAATGCATATATTTTTTATTCAAAGAAATAAATCATCAGGTTTGAAGAATTAAATCATCAATTTTCTAACATAAAGATACCACCTATCCCAAAAAAATTTTATTTTTTTACAGTCTTGAACTTTGGCAGGCTTGATGGTACTATGGGTATTTCTTAGTCACATATGCATAAAATATACTATAATTACTTTTGGGAGAAGGGAGGGAAAAAAAATTCTAATTGACATATAGACTTTATTGTTTCATCAGGATTTTTTTCATATTATTTTAACTGGCAAACTTTACAATATTTTTTCATTATAGGTAGATAAAGTCAGCAGCTATGCTTTGTAGTTTTCTACTTTCGTTTTCAAATAACGATCTCCTTGGATTCCGATTTTATGGTTTGGTTATTATTTAGTTGTATTTAATTTATGTTTTCAATAAAATGACAAACAATTATCCCCTTAATCTATGTGTTTCACCTTGCATACCCCTTAAAACTGAAAAGATAATCCCTTAATTAATTGCCCCATGCTATAAGCTACCTGCACCTGGACGACTCCGTGCGTTCAAGCGTGAAGTGATTTTCTGTGGCTAATTAACCATGTTAACACCTAAATAAACAATGAAACTTATCTGTGTGCATTGAATAAACAAGTCTGATATTGTTATCCCAATTGACAAAATTCAGCGGTATAGGGAAACTTATAAAATCGGAAATTTTGGGTGAATTTTTACATATCTGGAAATTAGGTCAATTTTTCTCTCCCGATCAGGAAGGCGGGATGAAAGGGTAAAATCGGGAGAATCCCGCCTAAATCGGGAAAGTTGGCATGTATGCAAATATCAGGCATTTCTTTTTAAGTAAACTGATCCCAGAAAATTAACTTTTTGGAGACAATCAGTAAAACTTTGAAAGAAGAAAAAAATTATATTACTTCTTTAATTGCCCTTTATTTTCATTATAGAGTCTGGAAGTGATCAAGTCCTCAATAAAACAAGAGTCCCTGGGGGAGGGAGGTCAGGGAACAGCTGTCTGTAGTACTGACCAGGTATGTATAACAAGAGCGTACCCATCAGTGTAGCAGCTTAAGTACAATGTATTACTAATGTCAGTAAAGTATTATTGTTTCTCATTTCTCTAGGGATTGATATGACTTTATGTGTATGCGTATTTCAATTTTAGAAACTAGAGCTGTGTACCAAGCTGTATCGTGTAATCTTCCAGCTTGTGTCCTTGTTTGAGAACTATGTCAAGTTGATGGACACCTTCCGATCTGTTACTTCATCACCACAGGTAGGATGTCAATTTGTCCCCTTTTGCACTAATAAATTTCTGTGTATAAATTATTTTAATGTAGTTGAATTGTATTATGCCACCTTCATTGTTAGATCACTTGACATCTGGCAGAAACATGTACAGTACTTGTATCAGGTTGTAACAAAACTGGTTACACACTTGTGTAGACTTGTTAACAAACATGTAACCTTTTCAGATTGCAGACATGTCTCTACAAGTGTCATCAGTGCGGGCTGAGGTCTCACAAGCTCTTCAAGAAATGGAGAATGGTCAGGTATCCCCAATCAACACAGACTCAAGTAAAATCCTCACCAAGGCTGAGGCGGTCACCAGTTTACTGGAGTACATCAATGGGCACCAGTTTGTGAAAGCTGTCCAACTGTTGAGGTCATTTAGGTATTATGAGAGCTCTATAATATTAAATTCTTTTGTATTTTTTGCATGCAGTATTTTTCGGGAAAATCAGTTTTCTTACTCGAGATACCAATACCTTGTCAAAAGCAGCTATTTGGAAAAAATCTATTGATTTTGTGAATAAGAAGGAAAAAGGTCATGGTCGAATTGTTAAGGTGATGTAAGGACAAAGAGTTTCATAAGACTTTCAAGTGTCCGCAGCTCCAAGGGCAAAATCTAAATATTTGATAATCTTCCGTGTTGATAGGTCTCAAAGAATTCTAGTTGGTCTTTTAGTCATGTACAGTATTTTGCATGATTTTAAACACACTTTATTAACATTGATTTCAGGTGTAATTGGCCTAACGATATTTTTGGACAAACAAGTGATGATGACATCATTGCTGTCCTGAGTATTTACTGCGCTTCCCAAGCAGAAAAACGTACAGGTAAAATTCAGTTTTCTTTAGCAACAATTTGATTAAGTTAAAGGTCATTAAAGAACTGTAGATGCTGTAAAGCAAGAGACTTTTTATACAAAATTTGAGATCAACTGCTGTGTCCCAGACTAGATCTTGAGACTATATATGAACTCAGTCCTGGGACTTTGAGCCTCAGGTCTTGAATGAGATTCGTAAGTCTCTGAGAGGATACTTTGTGTTTAAGGATGTTTATTTCTGTGCTTTTTGACAGGTCTATTTGTCCTGATGGGGCTGGACATTGACTTGGGACTCATTAAGAATCAGCTGATGCAGCTGAACATCCTGATGAGGGGAAGGTCCTCTTCGGTCCCCTCCCTGACTCCTCACACCCCCGAGGAGGAATCTCACCAGGACTCCAGCTCCTTATGACTAGAGCACCTGGGAAAGATGTCATTTGTGTGAAACAGATACACTCTTGTTTGGCTCTGAATTTCTTTTTTCAGTTACTGAGTGCAGTTTTATCTCTTTTGAACTTCAACAACATAATGAACACATATAAATATGCTGTTTGAAACATGTATCACCAATCTACACATATGGTTATCTACCTGGAATTAATGGTCAGATTCAAAGCATAATATTGTACATCTATAAATGTAATGTATTTCAATAATTCATAAATTATTAAAGTATACAATTTTAATATCAATAATCTTAATATTTCTACATGGATAAACATTTATAATTACTATCTATGCTGTAATTTCAATTTATACAAATTAAGGAATCACTGGAACTATAATCACAAATGACACCTTTCCCTGTGGCTTTTCAGCACTTCTAACCTAGACTTTTTATACAAAATATGACTTTAAGGGGACTTTGCTGATTGGCCACACTGGAAGTAAAATTATGAAGTTGTACATAGAAAATTTTTTTGGAAATATCCTGTAGAATTCTTTCTTGTAATTGGTGCTGAATTACATATTGGGGAATCGATAAATCAATAGCATGTTTTCATGTAACTTAAATCTCATTCTGTATATATATTTTTTGTACTAACATCTAATCAAAGGTTGCTTTGTTCACTTATTGTGGCATTTAATGTTTTTGTGTAATTTGCTTTTTAATTGGACCATGTTTAATGTTCAAGTTTTGTATATTATATTGTTTTAATTTATTTACCTGTTTGATGTACATGTATATATGAGTAGTCTTATGAATCGTTTGTTGCTATTGAAAGTGCTTATGTATTTTAGTTACACCCCCTCTCCCTTTTGTCAAGATACATGTGCATGATGTATTAAGGATTGACCCATATAAAGTGCAATTTTTATTTCCCTTTGATACCTCTTTGTTTATTCTAGTCCCCTTGCTTTCTTTCATTATATTTAGAAAAGGTGTTTTGTGAAGGAAGTACTTGTACTCTTGTTTTACAGATTAATAGTGAGGCCCTGAAACATAAAAAATAAAGTTTTCACATAATATTACTAGCATTTATTCAAAGTTAAGTTAATGCAAGTAAAATTTGTAGATTTTTTAAGCACATTGTTCATGTCAGATGTATTTGGATACGTATAAAAAGTAAACCAATGATTATATTCCTCTCTACACTTGTATTAACATGTCTATTCATGTAAAAATACATACTTTCACATCTATTTTTGGAATGTTAACACCTCTCCTATAGAGAAAGTACATGTACATGTATTAATAAAGTGATAAATATTTGTACAGAGTTCTGTTTTAGAAGAACAACAGGAATAGATAGACATTAATTCAATGTTTTGCTTGTGTATTGTGCATTATTTACCATTACATTTTACTGGACTTTATTTTACTGCAGTTTGTCACATGGTTTATAATGCCCTCTGTACAGTTAGCCGTAACAACTGTAATTGCAAATTATTCATAAGAACTTACATCTGCTTTGAAAAAATCTTGCAAAGTATGTTTTTAAAAAGGGGAAACCTATATTTTAAATATTTTAATTAGAATATACAAGTAGTTAAGTGGAATGTAACTTTCACACATCAGTCATCGTCGATATCCTCGTCTTCATCATCCTTCTTAGGATGACAGCGTTTGTATACAAACACAGAGAAGTCCAGCAGGAACAGACCACTGATAATGACTGTCATGACTATAAAGGTGTAGTAGGCTGTGTAGAACATTAGGCTGTTACAGCTGGTGTCCTCCTTAGTGAAGGCCGCTATGTCACCTGTATATACAGAGAGACAAAATGTACACAGGGATATAGTAACAGAAAGGGTCTGAACAGGTGCGTTGGAACAGTTACATGGTCAAGTGTAAAATGCGTTTTTTGCCAATGAAATAAGGATTTACCCATTTATATGTAACTGCAAATGAAAGGGATCATTCATAAATAGTTCTGGTATACATAGTATGGACTAAATAAGACTAAAATTGGTAGTCAGGGAAGTAAATTACTAGACAGAATGAGTGAACCAAGAGAGATTCTTATAATAGTCCTGTGGTGTTATACTGGATAACTGGATTACAACTTGAACTTGCATTAAAAAATATATCCGTACAGTTAAAAGTCCTGCTTATAGCTTAAGCCTATGAAAAGAGGGGCATACCCCCTGCCCCCTCCCAATACACTTAATTTGCAAATGATCTGTGACTGATTTATTTTTTATGAAGGGGCAACAATTTGTAGAATAGTCATATTGAGTCATGAGATAAGGAAAAAATACAATAAGAAAGCTTAACTTATCTTCACATGAAAAAAAGTTATAGTAGTTTAAATAGCTTTCCACAATTTGGAATATCCCGATCTATTTTTAGATCAATGTAGAGGAAATAAATCCTTGTATTGACCTGGAACGACACGTGCAGGTATTTTTAACAATACTTAGTTAATAGAAAGACTGGATTCAGAAGGGCACCTGCTAAAAGTACGATGACGTAGGTCCAGTTCATGCTATTGTCCAGCCCACTGGTCTCGCTCATGAAATCTGCCCCCTCATGTTTGTTCTTCCTCCAAGTGGTAAAAACGATGGACAGTTGTAGCAGGAATGATAAACATTTGATAATTCCTGTACTACCCAGTAAAACCATTACTACCGGCAGCAAAGGGATGTCCCTACACTCTGTCTTGTGGGATGCACCTTGGAAATATGAAGTAAAATGATCTTACGTATTTTTTTCACATCTGATCCTTTGAATCGTGATTTTTTTTTATCTCGACTGCATGCAATTAGATGATGAAGTAGATATAATATGAACAACACATTCTTAGAAAGTGTATACAATGTATATAAAAAAAAACTTACCAATAATAGCAAAGTAGACATGCCATCCCAAGAAAATCAAAGTCAACCCAATGAAGACCTCTGGAAAGGTATATGTTTATTGAAATTATATTTTAAATGTTCATAAGCAAATGATACAGGTATATTAATTTGATGCCTCCATAATCAAAGATTTGGGGGTAGATACATGTAGTTTTTGCCCTGTCCGTCTGTTTGTCTGCTTTTAGTATTCATTTTCAGAATTACGGTAGACCTTAGAAAGCAACCACTCCATCATTTGTATAATATTTTGTAGAATTCCTAAGCATAATTATTTGCGGGATTTATTTCGCGTAATTTCGGAAGAAGAAAAGAACCTCTCACATACATGAAATGTGTGTAAAAAATTCTTAATCATCAGTTTGCTCGCGAATTCACTTACTCGCAATTCGACATTTTCGAGTTTTCTAAATACTTGCGTAAAAAATGAATTGATTGTATATAAAAGGGTAAACTGGCAGAGGGAATGAAACATTCCCCATGAGGGTTGAATTTTCTCAAATGCACGTCAAACTCCTAAGGTCAAGGTCAAATTGTTGGTATCCAAAGGTCTTGTTACAATGAATACACCTGTGAAATATGAAAGCCTTAGTTCTAACTGTTCATGCAAAAGTTATGGCCAAGGTTAGCATTTAAAAACTAGAGCTCACTAAATGATACCCCCCGCTTCCCATATTGTTTATAATGGCAAAGTCGATGTTTTGCTGTGGCCGGGAAACCCAAAATGTGTGTCGGATCAAAAAGTAAAGTAAGAGGTCACAATGGCAATATGTAATAAAGATTCTGTGAAAGTTTCATTAAATTTCACTCAGTGGTATAAGAGGAGTTGCGGATAAGAGATGGGTACCCCAAAGCGTAACAGACAGACGGGCGGACGGACCAGCTAGGCACGTAGCATCGTTTTTGAAAGTGGGAGGGGGGGGGGCAGCCAGAGAAATTTTTTTTTTACTTACCTGTAAAAGTTGACAAGCAAGAAAAAAATGCCAAAACTCGAAAATCCTATTTCTTTTCGTTGGGGGGGGGGGGGGGAGGTGGCCAACTGTTTTCAATTCCAACTCCCTTTCACTTCCAATTTTTTTTTGCATACAATACTACATCTCCTTGATAACACTTTACTGTGGTAAGAAGTGAGGGGGTCAACTAACCTTTCAATGGACATTTTCAATAGTAAAGCTAATGTTGCTACGTGCCTGCGGACATACCGATTACAGTATACCCTCCCACTTTTCAAGCGGGGTATAAAAAATGGATCGAACGCTAAGGTCAAGATCAAAAATATTTATGCCGACTGAAAGGTGAATACATATGTGAAGTATAAAAGTCCTAGCTCAAAGTGTTCATAAGTTATGGTCAAGGTTAAAGTGTGGTATTTTTTGTAAAAGTAGGTCAACCGCCAAGGTCAAGAGGTCAAATTTGGTGGTACCCAAAGAAAGGTCTTCTCACAGGGAATACACCTGTGAAATATGAAAGCCATAGCCCCACCCTCTCGAAAGTTATGGGAAAGGTTAAGGTTTTTGCGGACAGACAGACAGACGGACTGACAGGACAAAGTTTCGGGGGGATAAAAAGTATATCCAAGATAAACATAACATCCCCCCTCCCCGAGTTTTCAGTGTCATTTAAGATTAACAATGCCCAGGTATCTGATTGACTTATTGACAGGCTGACTTATTTGGACCCCCTAAGTGAGGTAAACCCCTTGTGTTAAAGAAAAAAAAAGAATTGTTTTTTTGTATTGTCATTTCCATTCATTCCTTTGGGTTTTGGGGGGATGGGGTGGGGTGTTACTGTTTTGCCTTTTTTCTAGAATATTCCATAATAATTCTTGATTGGAAATAGTAACATCCTACCTAAAATTCTCAGGATCTGCACACATATAATCCTTGATGAGTTTCAATATTGATTAAAGTTTTTTTTTCTCTATAATTAACTTCCTGTTTAGATATACCATAGTAACATCGTCTTTCATTTGTTTGGCTAATTACTTTGTTCTAATCATCTTTTACCAGTTATCTCAGACGTCTACTTCTGCTTTCCCATGCTGCTAATTATGTTACTATGTTATATATTCTATGAATCACGATAATATATACCCTGAAGTTGATTAAATGAGATTTTGTTTGCCAAAAAGCTGTTTATCTTGTAAAAATGCAATAGGATGTGTTTACCTTTATAAAATGAAGTCTGATTTATTAAATGTATGAATGTTATGGTCGAAAGGGTGTGGGGCTGCCCCCAATAATTTTGCCGAATGAATTTATAGGGTATAAAGTATAGAAAAATACTACTACATGTATGCTTGTCTCCCTGCCCCCTCGATAATAACGTCTGATGACCCGTTTTCTCGTCATGGAATTTCTGATTGGTAGTGCCCCCTTCCACTGATAACTAATCCTTGATTATGCACTACCCCCACAGGAAATAACTTCCTCGATCTCTTTTGGGGGGAGGGGCACAACCCAGCAAAAATAAGTCATTGAAAAGGGGAAAAAACTAAAGCTTATCAGATCATGCAATATTGAGAGGAAACAGCGGCAGATTAACTACGTTTTCTATTGTTTACTATAAGATGTTAAAATTACTGAAGGGGGGGTAAGGAAGCAAGTCCCCTCCCGTCCCTTCATTGCTGCACTGGACAGAAAAAAACGACCAAAGCTCTTTGTACATGTCATACGACTGGATGACAATGTGTAAAAGTCCAATCTACTCAGTAAGTACTGGGGGGAGGGGGTGTCATACCTGCTCCCCAACGCCCAACTGTGTTCCTTGCCACCAGCTTCCGTGTTGATTGAGCTGATGTCACCAAGCTACGATATGGCATCTTCATTCTCTCCTGGCAGGCCACTTTTAATTATTTAAAAATGTAAAATATCAACATGCATTGAAGATATGATTGCGAAAGTGGAGGGGTGCACATGCAATTGTCGTCGTTTAAATTTACCGTTAGGAATAGATGGCTAACGCGAAAGCGACTTTCAGAAAAGAAATTTTACACGAATCGTATTTAAGGCATCCTTCTATATATGCAATATAATGCGTATTTAAAAAAAAAATTAATACTTACTAGTTGCTGCACTGTGAAAGTCTGCTGTTGTCAGAGATGTTTTCCTCCCTAGGGGCCCGTGACAAGCAGCCTTGTTAATGAATAATTAATTGCTGATCATATAAAGCTCGAGCTTGACTTGAAATACGCCGTTGGGTTTACTGAAGAGAAAATAGGATTCTTTATGAAGAGAGAGAGAGAGAGATTACTTGAAACATTTTTCCACACAAATAAACTTTCTGTTGTTTAATTCTCGATCCAAATCAAAGGATACATGTATATAAAACCAACGTGTAGAGTTTTCAGCACACAACTTTTCCGCCCTATTAAACCAAGTTATAAATGATACATCTTTCAAAGTTTATTATCCCTTAAAAAGAATAAAGCTGTGTTTATTTGTAAAGCAAATACATGTACCATTGCATTCATTTCCCTTATCTTACACATACTCTTCGCGTTGCGACAGACACATGATTGTATTAAAAAAAAGTATTTTCTTCTTTTCATTTGAAAAAGATGAAATGGTTACTTTTCAAGAAATATTAAATTTCCGCGTAGAACAGGTATATTGGAAGCTTTAAAAATGTTTGTCTAGCATCACGAATTTAAAACAGTTGATCAAAGTATAATCGCTGTTGTTGTTTTTTATTTACCTTTAACATGTAGCCTAGATATAAAAGAATTGGCAGTAGCATTTGTAAATCACTTTAAAAACACGACAAGTAAAAAAGTTACCTTTTTGTGAAATGTTGTTTTAGCCCCTATAAGAGTTTTATACACACGGGTAAACAGGAAGCTATCATTACCAGTAAGGAAGTAAACAGATATGAACAATGTTTGTCATTACTTCACTTATATACTAAATACTTAGTCTACTAAGCTGTGTCATCACATCTTTTTAATTTTTTTATTTACAAATTCAGTAATGGAAATTGGAATTTTTGATCTATAAAATTGAATGAAGCTTTCATAGGTGTACTTTTGGCAAAGACCTTATTATCCCCTCGCAATGGAGTTGGAGGGGATATAGTAAGGCGCTTGTGTATGCGTTTGTTTGTGGTAGATTGATTGATTGTACCATACTGGTACATTATTTAACGTCCCTCTCAAGAATTTTTCACTCATATGGAGACGCCACCACTTGCCGATGAATAGAGCTGAAAACTTTGTCCTTTACTCGGCACTCAGGGCCTTTGAGCAGGGAGGGATGTTTTTTTCGTGCCAGCACCTACAGCGACATGGGACCTCGGTTTATACGGTCTCATCCAAAGGACCGGTCTGTAAGTCCCACAGTGGGATAACAGTGGCGGATCCAGAAATTTTGAAAAGGGGGGGCCCGACCAGTTTGAGGTCAGGGTAGGGGCCTACAACCACACCAAAAACACATTGATTTATCAAATATTGTGTATTTTTTTTTACACAAAAGGGGGGGCCCGGGCCCCCCTCTAAATCCGCCAGTGGGATTTGAACCCCCGACATATGGATTAACTCCGTACTTCGCAACTCTAGAGCGGACGCTCTATAAACCACTGTGCCACACGGGAGTAGGGCTGAGTATTGGCCAGAAATTTTGTATTGCGATATTTCAAACTGTATTGCGGTATGAATTGCAATATTTTCAATGAAAATTACAATGGCATTTCCTTATTATTTTAACTTTAATTTACATGTAGAATGTACATAACTATAAAATGTAACCAAAAGGAAAAAAATCCTGATGATTTTATTAAAGTTATGCTCTGAAATACATCCATAGAACAGCTTCTGTCTTACCGTTTGGCTTAATAACAAGCCTTTTATATTACATTTTTCATATTAAATGATAAAATTCCTCAGTCTAAGCAATTTGCCGATATATCGATATTACAAAAACGTATTGCGATATTTTTTGTCAATGTATTGCAATATACGGACCGAAATATTGATATTTTTGCCCAGCCCTACATGGGAGACTTGCCAGTTAGAAATATCACAGAATATTGCAATAAGAGATCTCTATCCATTAGTGGGCTCTATTGAAGTATTATAGGCCAAGGCATCAGAGTAAAGCTGTTTCCAGGGTACATCTACATACTGTAAATGTATTATATTTGGCATGTACGATATTTGGTGGAAACTGAATTTTCAACAAGTTGGCATAGATTTGATTTAGCGCTTTTTGAATGTGCGTTACATAAACTTTGATACACAAAGCATTTAGCGATGTACTTGATTTAGCGGAGGCTGTTTTCCGCGAAAGGCACTAAAAAGAATACACAGCCAAATGTAATACGTTTACAGTATAGTGAACCAACGCCAAATTCAGCAGAAAAGTGCAGAAAAGGAACAGATTATTTGACGTTTTATTGTATTAGTAAAGTTTAAAAAGATTTATTACCTAAATAGGTAACAATGTATTGAATTCAATACATCAACTGCTGCAATGTAAAAGGACATTCTACCTACTGTATATGTACATACAGATACCAATAATTAAGGTTTTTGCATAAAGTCAACAATATAACAAATCTGAATGCTTAATTTTACTCTAGTCTTATTAAAAGTACAAAAAAGCAGAAAAGTTATGAAGGATGCTTCTCAATGGAAACATGATTTTAGCGATGAATCTGAGATAACGTAATAATAGAGGTATCATTGTTCAATGGACTCCACTTTGCAATGACATCCAACTATTTTTGTTGTTGTTTCTCGGTTTCATTTGAAATTCCAGCTTTGCAAAACTTGTCTTCATCATCTCATGTTCCACATAAAACACAGATCATGCCATTTTACACCCCCTGAACTCTTTGAGGAGTTGTTTTTCAACAGGCCCGTATGAATGTTTGACAATCCCCTGTCTTAATCCCTTACATGGGTCACACATCACTTTTCCACAGTTTAATTGTTTTGTCATTTTCTAAAGCTGCCGATGCAATGATATTCTCTGTAGGATGACAGGCACAGCACAAAACCACATCTATAATAAATTAAAACAAGATTAAGCTTTCCTTGATCTGATATATATGTAATACAGGCCTGTAGAAAACAATTTCAGTTTGAGGAGGCACAGAAATACATTTTTAGCTTGGAGCACTATCAACTATCAAAAACCTGCCCACCCCCTGGTTCCCATGACCATGTAATACTTGTGACACACATTTGTAGCACATGTAATACTTGTAACACATGTAACAACTGTAATACAGTTGAACTTCGGTATCTCGAACTCCAATATCTCGAATACCACGGATATGTCGAAGTGATTTGGAAGTCCCACCCTCAAATTCTTGAAGTATTTTACCTTCGATATCTCGAATTCTCGGATATCTCAAAGTTTTTCCTTAGTTCCATCAGGTTTGAGATAATGAAGTTTGACTGTATATGTTATAATTGTAACATTCTGAACTTTAACCCTGTTGTTATTTAGCTCACCTGTGTGTCCCTGTAGTTTCTGAACAACCTCCTTTGTTTGAAGATTCCAGATGTAAACCAGATTATCTTCAGATCCCGACACAATCCACTAATAAAAAAATTAAGTATATAATACAAATATACATGTAGCTTCTTGACGCGTTCAACTCCTACATACATGTATACAGACCTTACATATGGGCTGAGCATCATATCTAGTTTGAGCCATTGAGACATTTGTGAACTATAGACAATAATAATAAAAATTGTATATTAACCAGGGAGGATAGAAAATCTTAGTTCTTACCTTTCCACCTGTCACAGAAAAGTTGGCAAATATACAATACTTTTCATTCTTGTGTCCCGTGTATGTCTTGAGACACTGCAACAATTAAAACATTGCATTGTCATTCACTCATATTTAGTTTTTATTAGCTTTTATGATGAACAAAACAATGTAACATGACAAATGGATAATAGCTCAAACATTTGCAAATAAAAATAACTTACAGGAGGTTCATTTAATTAAAAATAAAATAAACTACAATTTCTGAAATTACCTTTCCTTTGCTGTAGTCCCATAACTTCAGAGTGCTACAAATAAAATATCCAACTTAAGGTAAATTTCTACCAAACATCAGTTGCATTCATGTACACATCAAATCCCACTGAGAGTTGTCTTTTTCATGCTTACTTGTCTAGTGTTGCTGCCAAGATATATTTTCCATTGGGGGAGAATTTCACAAAAGACACTGGGGGGTTGTCATCATCTGAAAAGTTACAAAGTACATGAATCGAATGTGTTGCAACCCTTCTGTGTATTCAAAAAAATTTTCCCCAGTATAAATAATCCTGAAGTTTCATGAAGAATACATGTATCTCCAGTCACTGTCCAAAGTACCCTTGTAGGTTAAATTCATACTTATGGAGAATGAATGACAAATCATAATTCTTTTTACATGTATAAAATTCATTACATAAAACTATGTGACCTACTGTACAATTTTAATGTACTTCATAAATACATTGTGATACAATGATCTCTGTAAGATTTTGAATGCATACCTATCAATGTTTTTAAACACTGTCCTGAAGCTGTGTCCCAGATTCGACTGAAATAAAAAACAAAAATTATTACTAATTGTTGAGATATTGAAATCCTTATCCTCCCCCATTTTCAATTCTTTTTCTAATTTAAGTATTCCCTTGACAGGGTAAGAAAAGTAAATAAAATATACATGTATCTAACTATAATCTTCTTTACTACCAAAACACTTTTTATCATGGCTTTGTCAAGTACTGTAATTAACTCATGTTTAATTTCTTAGACCACTGACTTACCAGAGTCCATCATAACTACTGGATACTATGAGTGACCCATCTCTGTTGAAGTGAACCTGTCAAAAAATGGATATATTTATCAAAGATGCATACATTATACTGGAGAGGGTCTTATTTCTATGACAGATTATGTATAATTCTAAACAATCAAAATTATTTATTTGTATACGTACATGTATGTATACGTGTATGTATAAACTTTTCATGATGCTCTGTATGCATACGCTTTTCATGATGCTCTTTTTTTTCCTTTTTTTTTAAAAACGAAATCAGTCAAATATGTTCAGTTTTATATTAATCATCTATCCTTAAAAAATTTTTTCTCAGAAACTTAACACAGTTTTTCAGGCGTAAGAGACCATGTTTAACAACTAAACACCTAAAGATGATTCAAGACATTTTTTCAAAAAAGGAAATAAAAATAATTATGGAGTATCTTCTTTGGGTTTTAACAGTCTTTTCAGTGTACTTAGCACTGACTTACTGGCTGACATGAGTTGCTTACTTACAGCTGTGACCGGATCTGAATGGGCTGGGAGGGTCTTTAGACATTTTCCAGTTTTTACATCCCATATCCTCACACTCTCATCAAACTGTAATAAACAAATGCATATTAGTGAGAGGAAAAAGAAATTGCAACATATAAAATTTATTAACTTCAGAAATGGAAGAGTAGATCCCTCATGCAAAAACAATGTTCAAGTTTATTTGTGACAATATTTAATTAATCAAACAAAGTCAATCTCTAAAATAGTCAAGAGCAGATAACTGGAATATAAACTCTTCCAAGAGTCATCAAGTTGGAGGCTATGATTTGGGGAAGTTGTGAACTAGACTTGAAGCATATACACTGTACATACATGTATATTCAAAAGTAAATTCTTTCTTATATGCAGTTTAACTTTGAACACTGATACTTCAAATATCAAGGATATGACAAATTGACAATCTGAAATGGAAATCCCAACCACATACATGTATTTCTAAGTTTTTAACCCTGAATATTTCACTCTCAAAGTTCTTTCTAGATCACATCCAGGTCAAGATAATGAGGTTAGGCTGTTTGTAAACACATATATCTTTAGACATTTAGTCAATGCATCCTTTATACACAGTGTATGCCAGCAAATTATAATTTCCTTAGCTGCTACTTACAGATCCCGACACAATGAGATTGGACTGTGGATTAAAGTTACAGCAGAACACATAGTTTGTGTGGCCTTTCAGAGTCTTCAGGCATTTACCCTACAAATAAAGAATTTAATTTTCTTTCTTTTATAAACTGATCTTTCAAATGTACGATACGTATTTTATTTTAGTTTGTCATTTGCATAATTATTCTATCAAACTACACAGATCTTAGAATTCTATGATGAAACAATGTAATTTTCTTACAGTGGCAAAATCCCAAATCTTGAGTGTTTTGTCATCTGAAGCACTTGCTAATAGCTTACTGTCTGAAGACCAGGCTACATCAGATATTCCCTGCAATCAAGAGAAAATGTTTAAATAAAAGTCCAAATATTGAGTATTTAAATGCAGTTAACATACATAAAAACTAGTGTTGGCAACGAGTACCCGGTTAACCGTCGAACGATGCGAGTATCGGTTAGTAAAACTGCTATTCGGTTACTCGGATAAAAATACATTTTTCATAGTAAATACGTATAAAATGATTTTGTATGCGGTTTGTAAATGTATTTTGTAAGGGCGAAACGATTACACGTGTAAACGGCGACGTTTCGATTATATGCTCTAAACGTTTACAGTTTGAGTAAACGTTTACACGAAGGTCATTATCAATGTCTATCAGAAATAAAGTTTAACACAAACAAATTGTTTTATTTCATAATTTACAAAAGAAACACCGTCTTTGACCATTTGACAAGCAAGAATCCGATAAGCAACAATCTATACCGGAAACATATTGAATGAAAATATCTAAAACCCGATACGGGCTAACATAATTAATTCCGATTTCCGAGTTGCTAATACTAGCGATGTTTTACGACACTTGAATCATAAATATATTTTGATCAAATAAATATAATACATTTTTCACACAAGTCTTTGAAAAGTTTCAATATAGTCAGCAGGTCTTGTTTTACTTTTTTCGAGTTTAAAAGATCCATCTTTACAATTATTTTTTCTACGTCCGGTAGCCAAACAAACCAAGCAGTTGGGTGACAAGGTCGTAAGTGAATGAATAATGCGCCTCAAATTCTTACGGTTAAATCACAATAACCAACAATAAATTTGTAATAACAACTCATACTTATATTAAAGTGAAAGAATTGATTATTAAATTCGAGTTTCATGAGTAAGTAGCCATAAAAATCCAACATAGAATATCTCCCGTTTAAACGGTACCGTTTCGTTTACTGCTATCCGTTTAAACGTTTACAAAATTCTGTAAACGTTTCACCCTTAGTATATTGGCACATTTCCCTAAATTAATTACCGTTAATTGCCGTTAGGCTTGCTCTACTGGTTTACAATTGGGATCGATTTGTTTAATTGGTTTTCACAGCGTATACAATTGATGGCTTTGATTACCAGGGGGTACACGTTTTGAAAACCTGAGTTATAATTACCTAAATAGACCTGTGATAGTTAGAGGAACTTACTTTCACAAGATGTCGCCGCAAACATCTAAAGCATGGATATATATTTTTAAAAAACCGACTGAATCGAAATCTGTCAAATGCAAATTATGTGAATTGGAGTTGTCGTATGCGGATGGAACTACAATATGCTAAATCACCTTAGATTGAAACAACTCCACAAAAACAACCAGCAATTACAGGGTCATGTGTTGATTATTTTTTTTTTCTTAAACGAAAACAAACTGAATGTTTCGAGTGACATTTATAATCAATAGTGTTCGAAGATGTGTTTTTTAAAGTTTGTATTAATTTTGTAAATAAATTAAAACTCATATACAATGTACATTGCATTCGTGGATTATTTTTACCAATTAGTAAAAGGCTGAGGTTAATAATAAATACGGAAACAAAAAAATCATCCGAGTAACCAGGTACTTGATCGGAAGATTAAGCGAGTAATCGGTTACTAAAAATCGTCCGATTTGCCAACACTAATAAATACTCTCATATTCAAAAATAAAAACAATGCAAACAAAGCATACCATTGCTTGTATCCTTAAGGGTAAAAACTTTCATCTAAACAGTAACTACTCACCAATTTATGTCCAACAATTGTCTTTTCAAATTTTCCATCAAAGGCTCCCCAAATTTTTATCAATTTGTCAGCAGCTACGAGTAAAAACATGGATTTAATGGGATATTACACTACACAAAACTCTTTTTGCTCATAAAATTTGATGTAAATAATGATGTTCATGGACATAATGAATTCATACCAGAACTTGCTAACCACTCTCCATTGGGACTAAATTTCACAGAAGATACTGCCTTTGTATGTCCTGCCATGGTAAACTTTAAAGTGTAATTGGGTCTCTGAAATCAAAAGCAAGTTGTCAAACTTATATTTTATCTTTGAATCATATCTTAAATATAATAGGAAATCCTAAATTCCTTTACTCGTTTTTTATTTTTGTGGTAGTGATGGGGAATCGGAAAAAAATCAGAATCGATTATCGGTAATAATCGGCTGGGCATAATCGATTAATAATCGATTAAAATCGAAATTTTGAACTTTAATAAAATTGATATAGAAAAGTTGAAACTTATTCAGATTTCTGTCAGACTTTTACAAATAAAAACATTTACTTACATAAAATATTCAAAAATGTTAATTGAACTTTCTTTTGTAAAAAGTGGAAAATAATATTTTGTTTACTTTAAACAATATAGGACCATATAAGACTATTGAAACAGAATGGGAATTTATTTTATTTTTTTTATAAAGTCCATGCAATGGGTATATTACTGATATTAGTCCCACCTTTCATTTAATACATGTATATTTTTCTTAAAATTAGTTTTGATTAGTTAAAATAATAAAATTGCAAGTCTTAAAAGTAATTATCCAGAAGTTAGACTTGTATTTATGATAATTACGTTTAAAGATTGACTAGACTAATTATGTTTTCCTTTGTATAGTAAAACCTTGCAATATTAGCGTTTCCTGGTATTAGTCTAACCCCATATTTAATCATGGCGGTAAAAGTATTAACAAAACACGGAATCCTTCCATGTTTTCAACGTTCATCACTACTTTTATGCTCTCTGCACTTGGATTTGGTAATAAAATTAAAGTATGACAATTTTATTTTTTGTTAGCGATGTCGGCGACATTTATTTTACAATCGATTAGTAGCATCGAAGAGCTTCTAACGACCGACAATCGATTGTCGGCGACAATCGTTCCATCACTATTTTGTGGAGCTGAAATTTACTTCAAATCTGAATAAGGAATCATGATCTCCATGTATGCGAATGTGAATATAAGTGATACAAACATATCAGAATCTTTAACCGTTCATTTATAGTTATTGGATCCAGGGATTTATCAAGGCTGTTTTTACTACCGGTAAATGGTACCTTTCCCCTTTTGTAAAAGGTGCAAAAATTCCCCTTTTTTTCAGATAGAAAATTCTCTGATTAAACGGAGAATATTTAAAACATCGTTCTTAAATTTTCCGTTTTTGTCTGTTTGAAGTTTAACAGCATATCCTAATTTACCATCCTAGTCATTCAAACACTTTTAAAAGAACGCATAGATTATTCAAGCTTCTATTTGATATTGATCGGTAAACATGTGCCATGTCCATGATGTTGAAAGATACGTATGCGATTATAGAGTTAAAAAGAAAAGTGTTAATGAGTAAGATGGAGCTTATATCACTATGAATCGGAAGAATGGAGTAACAACAAAAACAATGTTAGTAGTGAAACATGAAAAACAGGAAAAATTGATTTGTGATAGATATTCAGAGAAAAAATTAAATAAAGAACTGACCTGGTTTAAATTTTATTTTTGTTATTTAACATTTTGTCTAAAAAGTGAAGTTTTTATGGCCTTTGTAAAGGTCTACAAATGACCCTCAGAAGCTCTAAGAATGCAGGATTTTGCTCCATTTATTTAAAAATTTTCCGGGGGGGGGGCATGCCCCCGGACCCCCCTAAAATACTCGCGGCTCTGGCGCTCAGATCGAGCCTGCGGCTCTCATTTTCCCCCTTTGTGTATAAAACGGTAGTAAAACAAAATAGCTAGATAAATCCCTGGGATCCATACAGGTCTAACATGTGAACGTTACCAGAGGTTGTGAACTGGACTTTGGGGTGGTGACTGATAAGGTAGAACTCTGTGTTGTGGTCACTGTGCTGGCAGGGGTGGTGGTTGTGGGGGTCAATACAGGTTTTGTCTCTGTGGCCTCTGGGGGTTTTGCACCACTATCAGCAGACATCTTTAAAATACGAAAATTCACTATTTAAAGTATTTATCAGAGCCACATAGAAAAGAGAAAGAAGTAACTAGTATCACTGTATTAATAATTTTAACAGGTAATAAACCGATAAAGGTTTAACCATTACTGGTATTTAACATATTAATTTGGCGTATAATCATCAAATCTGATGAACGATGCAATCTATGCGGCGCGTCGATTTACCCAAATGGAACCCAAATGGAAACACAAATGGACCCAAATGGAAATCAAATGGAATATTAAATATGTATTATCGTATTTTAATACTTATTCAAAATGATGAAAATAAATGAACTTACAGTTACAAATGAATTTTTTTATTATTAATCTCTAATATTGTATTTTGAAACATGAAGTTTTCATAGTATCCTATATACCGGCAAAATTATTTGGGGGTAGGGGCGGGGGGGGGGGGGGCATGGCCTCCTCCTCCCCCCCCCCCCATCTGTTCCTACTGCCATAGAAACTATCAAATACTTCATTTTTGTAATCAATTATGTTCAGTAGTTATTACAAATAGAATTAAATCGCATTTTTGAAAATACAATTAAAGAAATTAATGATATTAAAATATTCTCTTTTTGTTTTTAATTTCATTATTTTCTATGTTTTAAATAAGTAAAAACTTGAGAATACAGTATAATATATATATTTTATATTCCATTTGATTTTTATTTAGGTCCATTTGAGTTTCCATTTGGGTTCCATTTGGGTAAATCGACGCACCCAATCTATGTAAAACAATGTTGAACAGAGGAAATCAGGGAAGCTATAATCAAACAATTGACATTTGCCAAAATTATTTCCACATATTATCTTCGTACATTAAACTCTAAACTACTATATTTAATTCAACGGCTATGTCACAAACCTTTGATTCTATTACAGGCCTATACTCTTAATAAAGATGTATTTTATCTATCTAAGCCCGATAATATTTTTCTCCCCATGTGTATACATTTGATCTGCGCATGCGTCACTCACAAAATCGGCGCATAATACTATTATTTTATTTTTAAAATTTTTGTTTTAGTATTTTAGTTTTTTTTCGTAAATTATTTCCTTAATTTTAAAAAATATAATTTTCTAAGTCGATTTGGCATTTCATCAAACATGTCCTTCTCGCACTCACAAGATCACATGACTGAAGTGGCCAATCAGTTTTCAATGCCTTGATCAACGTACGCAGGCAATCATTTGTGTTCCTGACGTCTAGTCAAAATGTTGCCTTGTAGATGGCTTACTTGCTAAAAATTACTCTGTAGACTTATTGATAAGTTTACTTATCTTGTAGGAATGTTATTGGAATGAAATATACAAAGGGAATTCAAGAAATGGTCTTATTTTAATTCTTCTCAAAGTCATGTGACACAAATTGACCAATCAAAATCTTCGATTTCACACAGAAGGTATATAAGCATTTCATTTGACCGAGATGGTCGTTCATGAATGAGATGAATATAATGATGCCCTACTGAATCATGTGGATAGAATGGACCTGAAGAACCATCCGACATTGCAACAGGTTCAGCAGTACACATCTATCTGCAGTTCAGGGTACTTAATGTAAATTTTTTGTTAAGAGGGTCAACTAGCATTATAAAATGTCTACAAAGTTAGGGAAAATAAACAATCCTATGTCCGCCATTGTAGCGACAGCGACGAACATGAATTGCATTGGATTTGCATCGTTTATTGCTGTATATTTGGCGCTTGATAAATGCAGTATATAAATGGTTTTAATCTAGATGCTTTCCGTCTCTTTTAAGTTGTAGTAGACGATAAGGGAAGTACTTTTGTATACCGCGTCGTTATTATGTAGATCGAATTTCGGTACTACGTCTTTGGTGCCTAGACTTTGAACTCGAAATAAAGAAATTGGACGTGGAAATTGTCTAATTTCTTTGTGTGTGTTCCATTATTCACATGGACTTTTTAAATTTACATTACACTGGAGAGTGCGATTGTAAACTCCTAAAGGACGCTTCCATGGAAAAGCGCCATTATGTATGTATCCGGAAGCACGTGAACAAAATGGCTTCAAGTGAGTCAGTGTCACATGAAATATTGCCATGTTTCATAAATTGAGCGTGTCGCCATGATTATAGAATTGGAATAGAGTTTTGTATGTAAATGACCCTTTTATCAAAATTGTAGGATTTGAGCAAATTTTCAACTATGATGATGGTAGTGTGGGGGTTGCTTCTAATAATTAGCCCTTGCATGGAACAGGTTGGGACCACTCGCCCAAATGGGATATAATAGGCCGTTTGGGATAGACTATCCCAAATGGGCTATAAATTTACAGTGCAAAAAATGAAAATTTTTATTTTGGATTTAAATATCATAAATCCGCATCAGGGCACCTAAATCTGAATAACTGTTGGTAAGCAAGTTTTTATGCAATCCTACGGTTTGTAAGATTGATCCCCAAGAAGTTGAGGAACTTCCGAGGGATCAATCACCTAAACAATGGCACTACAGAAAAACTTGTCAACCAAAAGTTATTCCTTTTTAAGTGTCCTGATGCGGATTTATAATATTTAAATCCAAAATAAAAATTTTCATTTTTTACACTGTAAATTTATAGCCCATTTAGGATATTCTATCCCAAACGGCCTATTATATCCCATTTAGGCGAGTGGTCCCAACCTGTGAAAACTATAGTACTACTCTTTTGCAGAGCAAATTGATAGATTTCGTTAATACATTTGTTAGAGAATTAAGACGTATATTTAACAATTCCTTTCATGTCATATTTCACCGATGATGTAGATGTATTGTTTGCACTGCAAAAGAGAAGTACCACAGTTACTGTAAAAGGGTATATCAGTGTTTTCCCTAAAAACCGGCTGACGGCCAAATTGACCGCTTCGATTGATAAAAATGCCGCCTAGAAATCAATATTTTTTGTAAGGTTAACATGGTTCTGTTCATTAACATCAACCCTTAGCCTGTACCAATCGATCTTTAACTCTTTACTTTAAAATGAAGGGAAAACACTGGTATATTCTACAATGGAAGGTTTCCAATTTACTAAACTTGAAATTCACAAGTTAGGAAAGTTATAAATAAAACAAGCTTTTTTCATTATTGTACATTTCATTGAACAGAACAATAAAGTATGACGCATGTGTTTTTGCCCCATCAATGGATGTAGTATTACTCTTTTGTAAACCCATTGAATTTTGTAAAACTGACTTGAAAGTAAAAGTATTATTTTCCATCATATCAATAAATAACATTCTGGAAAGAAGAATTCACTGTATTTTTATTAGTTTTCAATAAAGTATTAGGGGTGGATATCAGTACATGGTACCAATATCATAGTTATTTCAAAAATACTAGTAAATACTGTTTCATTTAACATTGGTCAAGATAACAGTGTACCGGTATCTTAATTTTTGAGACAACCAATTCCAGTCATGCTAAAATAGAATTTGCACAGTGAAAGAGTAGGCTAATTTATAAATGGATGCTTAGAGCATTGCTTGCTTTTGACTTCTGGTATTCAAGGTTAATCAATGTGTATATTAAAAAAAAAAAAAGTTAATTTAGTGAATAGTGATTTGATTTTATTAATAAAAACTTTAAAAAATGTAAATTAAAAAGGCAAAATGTCACAAAAATGTGATGTTCACACACGGCTTGACATTTACTTTTTTCCCTACTTGTCCATTAGGACGTGATTAAGATATTTACTTGTCCGAACTTCAACTTCACTTGTCTGAAAATTTTTCAATAAATATCTTATTCTTTCATTTTGAAAACAATTACTTAAATTAAAACATTATAAATGCTTGAATTGTCATTAATTTGTGTTGTTATTCATAAATAAGACAAACACAAATAAAGCAAAATTTTATCTAGACTTCTTGTCCTGGCAACAACATAAATGTTTGCAAATGAATCTTTTAATATCGATCAAATATATTCCAAACCGGCGAACATTGTAAGATCCATGCCTGCAATAGTATGGCTGCAATTCGTGAACATTGATCTCGATCAAGTGTGAACTTACATAGCGATTGATATCGGGATCGAAATTCGGGTTTATGTACTGCTTTTGATTTTATTTGATAAACTTTTCAATAGTTGTGTTTTTTTAATAATTATTACTTGAAGACTTCTTTACATAAAAAATCGCTTGTCCAATCGGAAAAGTGACCAGCAATATTCACTTGTCATTGGTACCGGACAAGCAGACAAGCGTTAATGTCGAGTCCTGGTTCATATATATCTATTCATTTTCCTATGTTTCGTTCTTTAGTGCAACCAAACAAAATGGGTCCCGGCCAACCAGGAAGGTTTTGTGTACTTGTGATTATGTATCTAGTCAAAACTAATTTGAAATTTGATTTATTTGTTCTGTTAATAATTTATTGAAATATTGAAATTTAAATGTTTATAAACTCATTTTACATTATTACATTGGAAGGTTGGAAAGTGAAAGCACATTTGTTATAAAATTAACTCTCATTTTCGCTCACCAAGGAATAGTATTATATCGTTAAACATACTGCATCATTTCAAACATACGGATATGGAATCGTACTGTAAAAGCGTATTGTTATAGTAACCTGATTGGTGGAAGATGCCTTGGGAATTTTAAATTTTTGTTAAGGAATTGGGAAGAATAAGCATCTTTTAGAATGAATAGGGGGAAAACTTCCAAAGAAATTGGTATATTTTCATGTCCAAGCTTTATTGTAATAAGAAATCTACTTCATTTGGACAGGCTGATGTAACTAAGGCAGAGGTAGAAAGCAATAGATAAATTTAAAGTCCCTAAAAGTTATAGGGAATATTGTACATGCCATGGAATATTGATTCAGCTCTTAAAAAGTAAACTGACAAGTGTAGCTCACTTGAGCATTTTGCATATATATATCTTCAATACAGTAAAACAAACTTGGCAACTTGTTGATCACCATATATTTAAAGCTAATGCTTGTACATCAGAAATTTGAGATTTATAAGTTTATATAAAAAACTTAAATTTATATTTATTCATCTTTTCAGATAAAAATCACTTTGTTTTCTCACCTTGCCATGTTGTGACCGAATGTGGCGTGGGATGTGCGGGGAATTCAGGTTTCCCGCAGGGAAAAGAACGTTCCTTGATCCAGATATACTTTGATGACTGGGACGACTATGCAAGCAGATATGACAAGGTATGCAAGTTTCAAACAATGAAAAAAAATTACTCAATTCTCAAGTGCCTAGAAATTTTTTAAAAAGCCACATGCCCATGGGCAAGTACTGACTGAGAATACATAATATGCTCAGTTTCAAAATTCACTTGCTCCCAAAAACGCAAAAATCCTGGCGTAATTTATACCACACATCTGCTTCCAACTTAACCTTATTCTGGACATCACGCTCCCATGATTTGTCTAAGACCATCATTTACTTGAAAACATTAATTCAAAGCTGAACTCCAGCAAAATAAAAAAAAAAGATTAAACAATTGTATATATTTTATATTTTTTTTATTATTGTGAATTCTTTCTATATTGAAGAGCTAGTGGTGACTCTGTGCAACAGAGTCCAGTTATGCAGAACTCCACAAATGAATATAATTTCCCCAGCGACTCGGAGTCACTCAAAATGGTAAGTGATTACATTGAACTCATGTCCCTTCTTAAAAAACATATAGTAAAATTGAACATGATTGTAATGCTTGCATTAAATTGATGCTTACCGGGAATTTCATTCCCTATTAGTTTAAAATAAATAATAAATTTAAAGGATATAAAGCAAATGACCAAGCAAAATCTTCTGTCCCTGGTACTTTTATCCAGGTTTGTTTTACTGTACCTGAACTGTTGTTAAAAGAGTACAAATTAATTATAAAGCTCTCTATTCCTAGAATGAGGACTCGGATGGTAACGATGACGTTTCTCCTTCTCCCTCTTGTCCTACTGGTGAACAGTCGAAGCCAAGTGATCGCCCTAAAGGTCGCAAAACAAATCAGCTCCAGTATTTGCAGAAAACGGTTCTTAAAGCT